TAATTTGGAAGAACATCAAAGAATAATGGATGAACCTGTCAGAGCATAATGAGTATTTTTCTAGCATGGCACTTGTGTTCGCAGGCTACACTGGTCCGCAAAGCTAATCACAAACCGTCCTTTAGGTTTATAGTAGATAAAAAAGGCACGACTTAAACCTGGTGTCGAATGTGGTCCCTTGGTCCATGTGTGAAAAGTGTGGCTGCTAATTATGTGGTGGATATTTTCACACTCCCACTCCAAGAAGGCGGTAATTTCAATGTAAGAAGAAGGATACAAGTTTAACGAAGTGTTCAACAACAGGATCCGATGCCATTACAATAATCCCAATATGCCGTCTGGAGGTCGCGGAAATCCAAAAGGTGAAATCCCAACGTGAAATCATCCTGTTGCTCTCAACGGTCTTGGATATATTGATCATGAATTTCACTTACGACTGGCTTGCGACTAATGTGTGCCGAGATGGCGATGGAACTCTGTTATTGATCGGAAATCGGATAGTTTTCTCTAGTGACGGCCACCTCAACTTTCCAGGCATCAGCCACGGGATCCCACCATGTTGTTCCTTCTTTCTAGAGACAAAAAAAAACATCCAACCCACCAAAGCAAGCAAAAATTCCATTTCATTATTTCTATGAAGCAGACAACACATTTTATTTTTGAATTCTTTCTTTCTTTTCTTGTTGTTGTTTGTAAACTAGTGTTATTATTATTTTTCGATTTTTTTGTTTTGTTAAATTTATTAAATTTATGTTGTGTATAGAGAGTTGTATTAGACCCATTAAACATTAACTATTTCTGGTTTTACACAATAATAGAATTATAATAATAACATTTTAAAAATAATAACTGTGAAATGTGTTTTTTTATCATTTTTTTTTTCTTTCTTTTTTTTTTTTTTTGGTTGACTGGATGGCGGTATGTTAATGCAGGAAAAAACAAATTTGTCTTAATTGGTTTTTGTTTATTTGATTTAAATAATAGTTATTTGATTTGCAAAAATTAGAAACATTTGTATACTAACTAAATACGCTATTATATTGACAAAAAAAAAACGATGTATATATAGTTAAAATAAAATTAAATATACAAGCTTATAATAAATATATAAAAAAACGAAATGAAGAGAGAAAAAAAAAAACAAAAAGTGATAAAAATGTTTTACTTACAACTATGTATTGTTTTTTTTTTTTTTTTTTTTTTTTTTGTTTTTCCTTTTTTGCTATTGTACAAGATAAGGCATGGACTGAAAAGTCTAGGGGTTCAACAAAGAGAATATAACGAAAATTTCAATCAAGAGCAGGGGTGGTGGGAGCCATGTTTTACAGGGCTGAAATCGGAAATTCGATAAAGAGTTGAATCTGAAACATGTCATACAAAACCATATTAATTCAGGAGATACTCGAAATTTAGAAAGATTTTAGGGTTTTTCTTGGAGTATTTTGAACAAACTTCAAACTTATTTGACAGAAAATTTGGAAAAGATCAGGAATAGAAACTGAAATGGCCTAGGTTTGTCTTATCTACAATAACAATCTTTTTTAGCGGGAGTTGGGTGTCCATAAAACACATTACTAAGTAGATTTTTAAAGTTTCGAATTAGAACAGGTCAAATCCAGCTTAACGAAATGAAACTCATAAAAATATTTGCGATTTTGAAATTATTTATAATAAAATGGAACTGAGGAGACTTTTTTCATCTTGAAATATAGACTCCTCAAAAACTGATATTGGACATGATAAGGCTTATGTCCCTTACTGAGAAAACCTGTAACCAAGCATTAGTTAGTGAACATGAGATGTTCCTAGACCCTAGAATTATATGGAGGGAAGTCACAAACATGCTTAATTCATTGACGAACTGAAGGGTGCTATGGATGAATTGTATGTCCTGTTTTTTTCTCGTTCTAGCGGCCTTATTGTTGTCAAAAAATGGACCGAGAAAACACTTTTTGCCAGATTAGAATTCAAATTATTACGCAGCGCAAAGCTGAATGTTGTGGAAGCAAAGACGTACAATGAAATGAATTTCGAAACCATTAAAAAAATAAAAAATTATCCATTTCATGTAAAATATGCAAAAATGACAGAAAATAGCCTTTTCGGACCTGATCGCAAAGATTGCCTATTGTTGTAACAAAAACCCAAATAACGTTGTTATTCAAAATTTTCACAAAGTGTCTTTCCTCGATGTTCATTCGATTTTAGAAACTACCCACTGTTCATCTGCAGATTCCCTTCTGGCCGCCAAAAGAAAGGATCACTCTTTGTGGCCTATAAATAAGCAATTTTGTTTGTCTGTTTACAGTGCGATTCCCTTCTGGTTGCCAAGAAAATTTCCTTTCTGCTCGCCTAGAAGACTCTATCCTGATCGCCTATAAAGACTTCCTTATGTTCGTCTGTGATGGTTCCCAAATACCGGGATAATTCAAAAGGGACTTTTGTTATTGAAGCAAAAACCTCCATTGCGTTCGTCAATGGAAACTTCCCTTGTTCGTCTCGAACTTACCCAATGTTCGTCTTTAAAAGCTTCGACCAAAAAGAGGCCACAAAGGAGGCCTATAAATAAACACTTTTTTGTCTGTACAGACGCTTTTTATTGTTCGACTCCTTTCTGGTATCAATACTGCTTTCTGGTCGCTCGCAGACTCCCATCTTGTCGTTATAAAGTCACCTATAAAAATTATTTTCTAGTCTCCTATAAAGACTTCCTTTTTTTGTCTATGAAGCCTCCTTATGTTTCTGTGTGAAGGTTCCCTTCTGTTTGTCTGTGAAGGATCTTTTTTTTTAGTCCTTGCAGCGCTCTTTTTTCTCGTCTGTAAAGACTCTCCTTTATCTGCCTTAAAAAATACGTGCCTCCTGGTTGCCTATTACGACTTATTCATTCTCTACGAGACTACGAAACTTGAGATCTCCTATAAGGCCTCCCTTCTGCTCATCTGCAAAGACTCTTCTCTGTTCGCCTGTGAAGGGTCCTTTTGGTTTGACGATACGAAGCCTTTTTTCGGTCCGTCGGTAAGAGACTTCCATTTACTCGTACTTAAAAACTCCCCTTTGTCCGCCTTAAAAATACCTGCTTTGAGGTCGATCATTTGTTGAAACAGCAATATTTTCGTATGTGAAGGCTACATTCTGGTCGCCTTTAAGAATACCTTAGACTCTTTAGGCAGCTAATGGTCACTTAAAAAATAGCCGATGAAGCCACCCTACTACTCATCTGCAAAGCATCACCTTTAGTGTTTATAAGAACTGCTTCTTGGACTTAACATATATCCGGACTGTCTAAAAAGAATCCCTTCAACTCACCTTGAACAACCCTATTCAGTTCGCCTAGAAGGATTATTTTCTGGTTGTCTTTAAGAACACATTTATGGGCTTCCATAAAAATCGCTATTGATGCCTATTAAACCCCTTCAGATTATATAAAAAACTGCAAAGAATCCCTTCTAATTTTTTCTGGAAGAACACGTTTTTTTTGTCATTTAAAATTCCGATAAAGATTCCAAGTTGCAAAAAGGCACCAATGCTGGTGTATTCTGTTAAAATCCAATCATTAAACGGTCATAAAGGCTTAATGAAACCTGCAGCATATTACAGGCGAAGATTCTCGCAATCAAGAACAAAGCGAAATGGTAAAAGAACTTTGATATAACTTAAAAGGGCCAGTGATCATATATGTCGATAGTAGGCGGCCCCAAAGCCATAAAATCGAGAGCCATTCTTGTCCGCAAGAAAGCCCTTCTTGAAATACGTGAGCCCATTAACCCTTGTTGGGTTCCAGAACACCGCAATATAGTGGGAAATGAAATAGCTGACGAATTAACTCGAGGTGGTTCCCAGTCGATTGATCTACCGATTGAAGGAATGTCAATCCATTAATCAGCTATTAGGTTAGCCGATTCAAAAAGGCTCTCATCAAAGAAGCTGACAGAAGATGCCACCTGGAAACCGATAGGATGGTATCTAGGACCATTTGGTTGGCAATCTCGATAAGTAAGTCCAATCTGAGAATCGGGGTGGGATTATCAACTAGCAACTGCAGTATCAAATATCTGACCCCTATGACGGAAGTCCCGACTATTATAGACTATGTGAGGACGAAGAAGAGGTAGACGATTGCACATCGTCTATGCAGATGCCCCAAGCTGTCAAGCAAAAGATTTAGACTGTTCGGTAGATGGGAGATAGAAACTCTAACGATCTTCTCAGACCTGGATTCCATTGTCAAACACAGGTTTGCTAATGGCTATGCAAGCCTTCGTATAACTAGATATTTCTTTGTCTTCTTTCTTTTCCAATCCATATCTTTCCAATTATAAAAAAATTTTCGTAGGATGAACACAATGGACCAATGGTACCCGAGTAAAGCAGCTGCCGGACTCTAGTGTAGCCGAGCATTCTGAAACCTAATCTTACATAGGGGAAATAACAGATCAGTAAGCAATTGTTTTTTTAACCGAAAGTGTTCAGTCCAAAGTTGGCAAAAGCCAGTAATAACATTTACACATTTTTGAATTGGTGTAATGTGACAACGAACGAGCTGAGTAAGAAAATCAGTCTTAATTTAGAAAGCCTCGGGGATATAATTCATCTTACATCGGAGTCATAACAACAGGCTAATGAAATTCTTCAATTTATGTCTACAAAATACCTAACTACAAAAAAGCTAAGGCAATGGCAAGTGGGGAACATTAAATATAAATATATTATAAAAAATGAAAATACATTTAAAAACTCTATAAGAATTTCTTAACGATTTTGGAAAAAGTTTAGGAATAGTATTTTTAGGTCTGCCTGCTATTAATTTTCTCATTTCACAACATTGCTCTTCTCAATAGCTCTCTGAATGAACAGTATGGAAAAGAGACTAAGAAAAGTCTTTCACATAACCTCAAATTATTGGCCCCAAGGCTTTTTAGTCCATGCTTTATAATCTTAATTTATAAATATTATTTTCTTTTCTTCTTTTGTTTTGCTATTGTACAATATATAATTCTTCCTTTTTGTTTTGCATTTCTTTACTTTTCAGAGTACTTTTTTTATTGGATTCTTTTTTTGTTTTTGTTTTAATAAAGTTAGCCTAACTTTCTTACATTTTTGCCTAACATATGTATATATATAGATATATTTGTGTTGTTTTTCTCTTTGTTTTCTTTTTGTATTTTTATTCATATATAATTTTCTTAGTCTTTAAACACTTAAAGAAAATACACTAGGTTTTATTTTATTTATCTTTTCTTGTTGTTGCTGTTTTTTTATTCACTAATAAAATTTTTATTTTTTTTTAATAATTTTCTTTTTATCTGTTTGTATATAGATATTTAAATTATTTATTACTTAATAATTAGTGTAATTTTTTGTTTGTTTTTTTTCTTGTTTTTGTATATTTTACTTACACACTAATTTAAGAGACAGAAAAACATAGTTTTAAAAAAAAGAATAATAATTTAAAAAAATAGCGTGAAATTAAATTTCCGCTTTTTCTCACGTTTCCTCAGTATCAGTTTTGTTTAAAATTAAAATTTATATTTAATTATTTATTTTGTTTAATTACTACTAATTTTTCTTTATGTATAAAAACACATACACATTATAATTTTTTTATTATCAATTTGTTGGGTGAAAGGTCGGTCAAGGTGGGTATTATGCAGGCCACATTTAGCCAACTTAAAGAAGATGATGGCCATGTCTGCTTGGCTACCCCATTGTCCCGTCCCATTCACCCCATCTTATTTAATTGTTCCTTCTTCAATTTATTTTCTTCTTTTGATTAGGAGGGGATGTGATGATGTTGGTTGGTTGGTTGTGATTACACATTAACGAACGAAAAACCGCCAACAAGAACACACTTCATATCTCGCAGTGTTTTTTAGGGAACATTTTTTTGTATTGTATAGAGCTTATTATATTATTATCGTGCCAGAATTGTTGTTGAAGACGAACGAACATTTACCACAAAAACAATTAGGCCACAACATGGATTTAAGCTAAAAAGTTACACAAAAAAATCTACAATTTATGTTTAATAATAGGCGTGTGTTTTCCAAAATAAATCAAAAAAGGTAATTTTATAAAAAAAGCGAAATTTTGTAAAAAAAATATAAAGTTAAATATTGGGCAAAAAAATAATCAAATATTGTTTTCCGAAATATACAAATCATGTATAAAAATTGAAAAATCTCCTATCAAACATCGAAACTTGAGATTTTCATTAGGCAGGAGGTGGTCGTTCGAGGCTGAGGAATTAGTTTTTGGGGAGAAAACCTATAAAACATTGAACCACAAAGAAAAAAAAATGATTTGCGGGAGTGCGAATGATACGGGACTGAGAAATCAGTTACAACTCCTTCGACACTGGAAATTCATTCGCATAAGCTGAGCTCAACTAAAAAATCAGTTTTTATTAACAAACGAAAGGGATTTTAGATGTATTCTTCATCTTTGATGTATTCTTTCAAGAGTCCACAATATTGAAATTATTAAACGTCTGGGACATATATAAAGATCTCTTATTGACTCCTCCTTCGGGAAGAATTTCATTGGGGAAGGTGATTTTTTTATGTATTCTTCATTAGACTCGACACTCAAAAGTTATAATTATGGAAATTATTCGGACTCCTTCCGGATGAATTTCATTGTTTATGTCTTTATGTCTATACAGACTTCCTAATATTGGTAGTTATTAGGGTCCGGTACACCTCCCTCTGCTTGTCTCTAAAATGTCTTTGTCTTTGAACCCCTCTTTTTTTGACTTTAGTACCTACCCGCTGTTCGTCTGTAAAGATTCTTGTCTGTTGGCCTAAAAATACGCCCTTTTATCTCTAAAACTTCTTTCTCTTGTCTCTGAACTCCTCTTTTTTCGACTTTAATAACTACCCGCTGTTCATCTGTAAAGACTCCCATCTGGTGGCCTATAAATGCACCCTTTTGTCTCTAAAACTTCTTTATCTTGTCTCTGAACTCCTCCTTTTTCGACCTTAGTAACTAGCCGCTGATCATCTGTAAAGATTCTTATCTGTTGGCCTATAAATACGCCCTTTTTCTCTTGTCTCTGAACTCCTCTTTTTTCGACTTTAGCAACTACCCGCTGTTCGTCTGCAAATGCTCTCATCTGGTGGCCTATAAATACGTTCTTTTGATAGTTTGACTCTCTTCTGGTAGACGTAAAGGAGATTTCCTGGTCGGTTAAGAGGACTCCCTTCCGGTCCTTGTAAAGACTCATATCATGACTCATATCTGGTCCCCAAGAAGTAAAAGTTCGTCTGTAAAAACTGCTTTCTGGTGACCTATAAATATACCCTTTTGTTCGTTTTTACAGACTCTTTTTTATTTTTTGACTCTCTGGTTGTTTGACTGGTCTGGGCATTATAAAGACTCTGGTCGGCTAAAAGACGTCGTTCTGGTCTTCCCTATATTCATCTGTAAAGACTCCCTTCTATTCGTCTGTGAAGGCTCCCTTTTGTTCGTCTATACAAAGCCTTTTTCTGTTGGACGGTAAGATTTCCATCTGCTCGTCCATAAATTCTCCTTCTGATTGCCGTAAAGAATACCTTGTAGGCACATATAGCCTGATCTGAAACTTATTTCTTTTGTCACCGAGTTTCTCTTTCTACTGCTTGTCTATAAAAATATCCTTTTTCTCCTCTCTAAAGATTTTTTCTTCTCAATTTTTTAGGACATACTTGAGCTCGTGTCTAAGTACTCCCTTCTGCTTGGTTCTAAGGACTATCTTTTGCTGAGTTATACAGACTTTCTTCGGCAGGTGGTTTTTATGATCTATAGACTTGCACCGGATCGTCCCTAAAACTTTTTTCGGCTCGTCTCAAGATTTCTTTTCATATTTTAAGTCCTCTTTCAAAATATATTTCTAAATACTCTCTTAGAGCCTCTACTATAAAGATTCAGGGCTATAAGACTTTCTTTCATAGGTGGTTATTATGGTCTAAATACTTCCATCTGATCGTCTTTTAATCTTCTTTTGGTTCGTCTATAAAAATTTATTTGTGTTAGACTTTAAAGATCTTTTTTCCAGGACCAGCTTCTGCTTGTCTCCGAATACTCGCTTCAACTCTTTCAAAAGATTCTATTCTGTTCGTTTCCAAAGACTTTTTTCTACTCGGTAAAACAAATTTTCTTCTGTAGATGGTTATTATCTAAAACTTCTAAAACTTCTCTAAAACTTCTTTCGGCTCATTTCAAGACACCCATCTGATCGCTTATAAAGATTTCCTCTTTTCGTCTTTTAAAACCTCATTCTGATTTTCTCTCTTCGTCCATAAAGATTCCCCTTCGTCCATAAAGATTCCTTTTTGGTTCTAGAGATCCTTTTGGTCGACGTTGAAGATTTCCTTTGGCTCGTCTCTTGTGGATATTGTTAACATATGGATCTTCCATATTCTCGTCAATATTCTCGTCCGGTTGTAAAACAATCTTCTGGACGTGTCTAGGGTATTTCTTTTACTTTTCAATGGAATGCTTCTCAGCTTGTCTATACACCTACAGTGTTCCCCAATCTGTTAGCCACAACCTACTATTTTTTTCGTATGTAGACTCCATTCTGTCCGATTGTTAAGAGTGCCTTCTAGTTTTCTTTAAGGCATCGTGAAGATAAAAAGATTTGAAGTGTCAATTTCAATAAAATGTATCCCAGGCACCCAATAGGGAGAAACAATTTTTCCCAAAGAATCAAGGCAACCGATGTCTTCATTTATTTCGTCTTTATTTATGGCTGTGAGGAGATTTTTGAATCTGAATCTATTCACCTGTTGTCTTCCCACCAGCCGACCGAATACGGGAGGGAATTATAAGCGATTTTCAAAGTGGGTTCAGATACTTAAATGTTTTCAGTCCATTCATAAAAATTTCTATAATTGAGATGCTCGACTTTATAAAAATAGAAAATAGTGTGTTTGTTGTTCAAAATTCACAAGATAAGAAAACGAAAATACATAAAAAAAGATTTAATCAGGAAAACACCATCATAAATCGATGATCGCATAAAAACAGACCTAAGTGTTGTTTAGTTTGGGTTATCTCTATTACTTTTGCCATTTTTATTTTTTTTTGTTTTATACAATATTTTACAATTTTTGTTTGTTTGTTTCTTTTTGTGTGGTTCTAAAATAAATTAAACATTTTTTGTGTATTTAGCAAAATAACAAAATTAGAATAATTAAAACATTGTAGTTTCTAAATATCAATATCAATAATAATAAGAATAAGAATTTTCTTTAAACAAAAAAAATTGTCAAAGTATTTATTTAATTAAAAAAAAAACAATATGCCCATGTCAAAATAACCAACATAGGCATATCGATCATCCTTAAAACAAACAGAAAACACGCGCTTATACATAAAAAACTTACAAATACAGGGCGAAACGGTTTGTAGTGAACTTGTTTGAACCTTTGCTCATAAATTGGAGTTTTTTAATAATGTGTCTATATATATTGTTTATTACAATATTTCGTTTCGTTCTTTTGTAAACCAAGGAATTAACAAAATTAATGTTTTAATGGTGCTTTACATGTGGCATAATTATAACTCATTCGTTATAAGCAATAATAGAACTTAAGCTTAAGAACAAATTTTGAAATCTTTCGAGACACAAACAAAATGCTTCGTAACGAAGTATTTATGTAGTTCACTACAGCCGTTAATGCTCAGTATTTGAGTTTGTTTTGTTTTTGATTTTTTGTTGTAGTTTTTTTTTTTGTTTTGTTTTTGTATCACTATAATAATAAGTGTTTTGTTTCATTGTTTTTGCGAACGTATAACCTTACGCTTAAATCCAGTTTAAACCTATTAGCATCTATCTCTATACATACATATATATATATATGTCTCTATGTGTCTGTGTGTATGCTTGTTTGTATATATATGTATATAGGTATGAATAGATATATGTATATAGTCTTACGTCTTCATTCTGAATCGTTGAACACCATTTATGTTTTTGTTTTTATCTATGAATAAAACTCACTTTGTTGTTGCTTTTTTTCCTTCATTTTGCTCCCGCTGTCGCTGTGGCCGCAGCAAGTGTTGCATTCGAGACAGAGGTCGCCGATGCCACCGCCGATGACGACGATGATAGGGAATTAACAGCGCTGCTGTCATGACTTTTATGTTGCGTTGTTCCGGACGATATTGACGATTCCGATGCACTGTTGCTTACAGATTGTTGCTGTTGCTGATTGGAGGAGTTGGTGTTCGCAGGTGTTGAGGCAGCCGCACTTGGTGTTCCCGCCCCCGCTCCTGTGGCGGCCTGGGAATAGTCTAGTTTATAAATGGCGCTACGTGTTACATCCTCCATTGATGCTTCCTGGCAATCCCGCCCAATGTGGGCCTGGGAACCGCAGTTATAGCAAGATACGGGTTTCGTGACTTTTGGGGTTTGTTGCTGCAACGGTTGCGGTTGTGGCTGTGCCGCCGATTGTTGGGTTGGCGCTGGAATTTGTTGTGGCGTTGGTGGCGGTTGTGTGACTACTGTTGCTCCACTATTCGTACTCCTGAGGGCGCCGGGTGGCGGTGCTGGAGCTCCCGGTAGAAATGCAATACCAGGGGCATGATAGGTTTGATACAGTAGCTCACCGCCATTGGATGGCAATTGAAAACTAGGCACACGGAAAGTACTGTGGGGTGGAGGTGCCATAGCAGGATTGTGGGGCATTATTGGAGGACGTGTTGTGGCTGCCAAATGTTGGGCTGCAGCAGCTGCCGCATGGTAGGGATACGTGGCATTATATTGCTGCTGATGTGACTGCAATAACACTGAATTCGTTGACAAGACATTTCCCAAAGTGGCTGTACCCGCCCCGGCCGAGGGTGAACTGATTAGAACAGTGTTATTACCCACCATATTGTTGTTGCTCGAAACCACATTTGCCGCAGGATTACCACCAGGATTATTATTTGTCATTGAGGTTTGCATGACATTTGCAGAGCCCACATTTCCCTGGCCGGGACCCAGCAACATTTCGGCATATATGGCTTGTTGATTGGCTGATTGTTGCTGCTGCTGTTGTTGTTGCTGCTGTTGCTGTTGTTGCTGAGCTGTCTGAGCATAGAGTATAGCACTGGCATTCATCACATTATTTCCCCCACCATTACCGCCGCCACCGCCACCACCACCTGCAGCCGAGGACATTTTCTCCGAGCGTCCATTTAAGCGTTGGAGGCCCATTTGCTTGTTATAGCTTAGCTGTGAAGGTTGATGATGTTTTTGTGTTGGCTGCTGCTGTTGTTGCGACTGTTGGCCACCATCATTGCCACCTCTCATGGCTGGATTCGATGCGGCATTGTTCATCATTAGGGTTGGTGTCTCGGGTGGTGATATTTCGCCCGACGAACCAATGGAACTACCAGAATCACTACCAGTACTTTTATTGGAATTCATCATCATCATATTACCATCCATACTGTGATGGCCACTGGATGACATATCAGACATGGACATATTTTGCATGGCATATGCCAGACCTGTATTGACAGCAAAGTTGCCCTGATAGTGTTGATTGACTGGCGATTGTTGTTGCTGTTGTTGGTGTGGTGGTATGTAGGTGTTGGCCTTGATGCGCGGATGGTTACCTGAACGGGTAAAGCCATTGCGTATGAGATTTTGCAATTGATTGCCGGTGTTCTCGTTATTCATAACCACCTGAATTGAAATGGAATGAAAGAAAAAAAAGATGAAATGTTAAATTTTGTGGAATATTGAAAAGCGATTTTATTTTCCCCTCTTACCTCCTGTATGTGCTTCATGTTCGTTGGCATTATCAATTCACTACCCATTTGTGGCATCTGAGGCGGTGGTGTTGTCTCAGCCGATGGACGTCTTATATTTTTTAGCGTTGTACCCGCTAAACGTTGTGACATATTTCTTGTCTGGGAGGGATTCTGCGATGGCTGATGTTGGTTTTGCATTAGACCGCCACCACTATCGCATGACGAAGTGCGATTGGGACTTGTGGCACGTGAACTCGATGGCGACGATTGTTGGCTCAACATGGGCGACGAGGCCTGAGGTGGATGATCCATCAGATTGGGTGGAGCTCCCGCTGTCTGCGTTGGTGCCTGGTGATATTGTCGCATGGCCCACGATGCTGCATTTGGATGTGTCAAGATTGTGGCGGCACCGTTACTTGCGTCTGGAATGATGTTGGAGGAAATCATATGTGGTGGTAGTCCATCAACGATTTGATGTTGTAAAGAGCTTCCATCATTGGGTGGTATTAACTGTAATTGGAAAAATAAAAATTGAATTAGACTTATAAATGGAATTGTGATGAAGTCAATTGTATCTGTAATAAAACTACAAACTCCTATCCTTTTGACTGTATGTTGAAGGTATATATAATTTATATGGAGATCGCCAATTAACATATTTTGACCTTGGGTAAAAGTCATAGAGAGAATATATTTAAAACCTGCATACAAATTGATACTATGAAAGAACATTCAGAAGATGGTGGCAACAAATGAAAAGCTTTCTTTCCTTAAGGACCAGCCAAAGAATACGTTATTTAGGGGACATTATTGCAAAAAAAAAGATCCATTCAAATGATCACCTGCCAATTTAGGGTGTATTTATGACTGATGACCTGTGTAATGATCTATGCTAAGGAGGATTTAAATCTGGATATAATAGGGAAAGCGCAAGGAGAAGATGACAATAAATATCCGATATCTAAATTCTCTAATATTTAGAACTAAAAGAGGTATGTCTTTTTTCTCAAATAGCCACAGATATTTTAGAGGAGCAAAAAAATAAAAATAATAAATTTTTACCGATTTTTCTTCACATACATATACGTAGTTTACCTTGGCCAAATGACTCTGGGGATAACTGAGCGGTATTGTACCCTGGGCAAGCATTTGCATGGGTGTTGGTCCCAACAACTGATGATGTTGACCGGTAGCATGCAGGGCCGCATGCAAAACATGTTGCTGCATCAGTTCCTGTTGGGACGGTGGTGGATGCTGGTGCATTTGCTGTTGCTGTGGAGTCATAGGCAGCGTCTGGTTATCCATGGTGGTGGCAGATACGGCGGATTGATGGGTTGCTTGTGGATGGATAGCGGGTTGTTGCTGTTGCTGCTGCTGATGTTGTTGCTGTTGTTGGTGCTGTGCAGATGGGGGCGGCGTTGACGATGGCGGTGGATCGGCCACTAACTTATTTTCCTTAATTTTCTCAAAAATCTTTATAAATTTAAGATGCTGCTCAAATTCAAACACCGGGTGATTAGCAGCCATGGTATAGACCAAAAGCAGCTCCTTCAAGGTGTCAATATCAGTCATTGTTGAGAAGTCCAATTCGCCCCAGGACTCAAGGGTACGAAAGATTTCATTGACATTGGTACGGTTGCAGGACCGAATCAGTGCTAAATACAAAGCCATTTTACGACGCACCTTAATATCGGTCGGTTCACCCTTTTGACACGCAATCATGTCTGTAGCCAAGTCTTGGGGGTTATTCGCCCTCAGCTCCATGCCCCGGAGCTCCTGGGAATCTCGTCGTCCCAACTCCTCCAGGCAAGTGCCCAGGAAGCGCAACTCAAATGGCAAACACAAATTGAGCAATGTGCACATAGTGTCTATGCGCTTGTAGCTCTCCAGGGCTCTAAACCACATTATCACATCGCTCTTGGTAATCATCTCCACGCTTTTTCTCGCGAATGGTTGGAGTTGTTTCTTTGCAAGCTTTTCGCAGCTGCGTTGGCGTCAGCAACGTTCGGCAATTTGTTTGCTTTTATCGTGCTCTGCTCTCACAGTCCTCCCAGGCCTATGGCGCGTTGGCTTTCGGGCACTGCTACTTGTCCTCTAATTGTCTTTGCAATTTTTGCTGGTTTGGTGGACTTGGATCTGTTGTATTGGTCTGGACAAAGCCGCATTACTCTGATGCATTTAAACGTGGTTAAGAATACTCTGTACAACAAAATTGAATCCACAACCGACCGTTGGTGTCAAAATGACAACGGTGGAGGCGTTACGTCTTCTTATGTTTTTGTTGTTGTTGTTGCCGTGGTATCTTTTGTTGTTTTTTGTTTGTTCGTTTTGTCTACAGAACCTGCATTTGCAAACCTCAATTAAATATTTGCGAAAATCGTCTTCTTCATGCAGTTGACCCTTGATAAAAATATTTCCCGGAACGGCAAATGGTCAGACGTTGGTCTTGCCACCACATTTAATTGCAGCGCAGAAAATCGAAACTAAATACAAAACGAAAATCAACCTTCTTTTATTAACAAGTTGTATTCTGCGGACTGCTGCTGCCTTTCTGCATCTGCACGGAACTGGGATGGATATGCAATTAATAGTTTTTTCCTCGATGATTTTCGGGTGAAATAACCTCTTTTCTTCACTTTCCACAGATCGTTTGTAAACACACACTTTGGGAACAGGTTGTTAAGCACATTTAAAGCCGTCCTTTTGCCGCGATTCCAAAATATTTCTCGAAATAGAGGTATTTTCTTCACTAACAAAAATATTAAAAAAAATAATCACAAAAACGATGTCTAAAAAATCGCCACTCGTTGCATTCACTCGTTACTTTAATGTCTGTCACTGACTTCTTTATTCTTTGCTTCTTCGCCGTTCTCTCTTCCTCCTCTTCGGTGATTGCTTGCTACATGCGTTGTGAACGTTCACCGTTCTGTTTTTCAAACTGCGTTTTTCCACTTTTTTCTTTGCCTTTTTCAAGTTTTGTTGTTGTTATTGTTTTGCTTCTTGCAATGCGGCGTTTTTGTCAAGCAAACATGTATTTTTAAACAATTTATTTTGTTAATTAAACGTTGTCTTTTTTTCTCTGCGGTTGTAGCTATTGAATGAAAAAATCTCATTCAGAGACTACTGGTTACTGTACTCTGAGAAAAATACTTGGTATCCGTAACTGTAGATTTTAGAGGTTTTTGACTTTGAGGTGGGTGCATCTTTACTGAAGACGGACAGTGGATGGAAAAATAATGAATAGAAATTATTTTTTTATATTAACGTTGTGTTCCCTTTCTTTCTACTGGTGGAACCAGTAGAAAATAGCGATGACATTTGAACTGAGAGAACTGATTAGCGTAGAATAAACGGGAACGGAAAACTAGTTGAAAAATGAAAATAAAATGGGAAAATAACGTAGAAAAAAGGAGATATCCCTGTGCAATCATATGTTTACAATTTGTTTTACTGTTATTCCTTAGTTATCTCATTGTCAAAATGTGTATTCATAAATGCATGATGGGAACTTGCTTTATAAGCACCTAAATGTGACAGAATAAATCGCTGAGAAAATTGGTCGAAAAATGCAGGTAGATGCTTTAACTTTGGGGAACATTGAAATGTCAAAAATTTCGAAGGCAATCGGGGGTTGTAATGACATGCATTTTTCATGAGTTTTAATGAACTAGAATAATTTTTTGTTCAAAATTTTCAATTCTAAAATTGGTTTGACAGTTCATTGTCCCAGCAGCTGTGTCGTTTTCGAACGAACTTTGTTCCCAATCAAAAACGAGTTAGAATGCTCACACTTATTCGAGCGACAACCAAAAATTCCATTTGCTCGATTTTTTCTGCTCGCAAGAGCCCTCCCACTTGAATTTACTTTAATTTTGCTTAAAAATAATCTTTTGGCTATGATTTTAGCCGATTTTAACTAACAAAATGAGCGGCGTTTTGGTGTCTACTCACTAGCTGTTGCGCAGAGTACGAAGAGAAAGCTTTTCATACTTTTAGTTCTTGTCGATTTTACCAGTATTTTTTATACAGAATTATCCAAAATTAATCCTCTTAAATATATTTATTAAAAAATCGTTTATATAGTATACAATAAGTAAAAGAAACTAGAAAACTAATATTTAAAAGAATTTGTTTGGCACATCGCTACAAGTAAATAAAAGTGAGAATACATAAAATTATTGATTTTCTTCAAAGTAATAGAGGTAGGCTCATTGGCAACCCTTATTTAAAGTACTCGGTCTTGTCATTTTTTCAAATAAAATTTATTTATATATTTGAAATATTTACGTTTGACAAGTGGCATAATTTACAAAAAATAATAATTTTCGTCGTTCCTAGGAACGTAAAACAGTTATATATTCCATATTTTATTTATCTTGTCTTAACATATAAAATTATAGAGTTTAAACCTTTCATCTTATGGAATCATTCTCGTTGTTGTTAGTTCCTTTTTAACTCAGTCTTTAAGAATCTGAATTCTAGAATAACTGGCTGAAATTTTTCATACTTGTAGTAGCAGCCACAAAATGATACCTTGGAACAAAATTCAACCATCTTTTGTAATCGTGTGATTACATGAGATTTCCTTTGTCATTGTGCCAGCTAAATAACACATACATTCCTTATATGTTATACATTATAAAAATATATTTATTACATTTGGTAAAATCAATGGCATTGCCGAAAATCCCACTAAATCGTAATTTTTGCCTAAATTTCTCACCGAATTCCACAAATGAAAATGTCGTCCCAATTTTGAAAACAATTCCCCTTTTTGGAGATGGCAACACTCTTCATTTGCGCTACTGTGTTGTGTAAGCTTTCCTTCCATTTAAATCAACGCTGTGCCTGCTTCTGCTGCTGTTAATCATTCTTTCTGAGTACTTGACAAATTGCAGACCGTAATTGCCAAGTGATTTGCCGAAAAATCTAATAAAAAATATACAGGAAAATGACCGCTGGAGAAGTATTGGAAAAAGTTACCATTACCCCAGATGGTGGTGTACATAAAGACATCTTAAAGTATGGTACCGGAGACGAGACCCCCGAAAATGGTTGCAAGGTCTCGTTGCATTACACAGGCCGGCTTACGGATGGCACAGTTTTCGATTCCAGCGTTGATCGCGGAGAACCCTTTGAATTCGAGTTGGGAGCAAGTAAGTGGAGCAGTGATTTGGTATCTGTTATTTCCTTGCTAATTTAATTAATTTTCCATTTTATCGTTTAGGAAGTGTTATAAAAGCTTTCGATTTGGGGGTTATAACTATGAAATTGGGTGAAAAATGTAATTTAATTTGTGCTCCAGAATATGCATATGGCGAAAGTGGAAGTCCCCCAAGTATACCACCAAATGCAACATTAATTTTTGAGGTATGCCCAGTTAAATTTGCTATTTTTGCAAGGACTTTCATTCAAGATTTCTTTTTTTCTTGGCCCCATTAGCTTGAAATGTTGGGTTGGATGGGAGCTGATGTTAGCCCCAATAAAGACGGTAGCATTGAACGTTTCACCATTGTAAGCAGTGATAAGAGACGTGGTCCTAATGATGGTTCCCTGTGCAAAGGTAAGTTTATGGGAACTTGAATAAAGTTCAGGAAATTTGAATATTCATATCATTGTTTTGTTGTGGTCAAACAAAAATCTAATTTATGCTGTGTGTGTGCGCTGGTGTAATCGAAATTTCTGGAAGTGTTTGTTGTTTGAGTGGTGGTGTGTGCGTGTGTGTGGTTTATATACATATGTTTAGTTATCGATAATGGTTTTGGGGAGCATGTTCTATGACCACAATGGATTTCATTTGAAATTTAAATTCAAAATTTTTAAAAAAAATATTTTAGATTAAATAAGGGATTTAAATAATACATAAAATAATTTCATAAAAATCATGTTTTTGTTTCACAGCCCACATCACTGGAAAATATGATGGCAAAGTCTTTGAGGAACGAGATGTTGAATTTAATTTAGGTGAGGGTAGCGATATTGGTTTGGTGGAAGGTGTAGAAGTTGCCATTGGAAAAATGGTCATTGGAGAAGAATCAAGGTATATTAGTGTATTTCATAATATTATAGAGTACATAGTAAATCTAAGTATAAAATCTCCAATTCAATAGATTCAAAATTAAACCCAAATATGCCTTTGGTGCTAAAGGAAATGAACAATTCAATATTCCACCAAATGCCACTGTCGAATATATTATTAAATTGAATGATTGCGAAAAGGGTATCGAAGATTGGAAATTCACCGAAGAAGAACGTGTTGAACACTCGAAAATTTACAAAGAAAAGGGTACCAAATATTTCAAGAAGGAAAACTTTTCACTGGCTCTGAAAATGTACAAGAAATGTGTAGACATTTTGGATAATAACAGTAAGTATTTTACATGTAAGATGGCATTATCAAGCTACCTTGTTGCAAATATTTGTCATGAACAATAATGAATCTTGTCTTATTTTGCTGTAGGTGATGAGGAAAGCAATAAACTTAAAGCAGCTGCCTTTAGTAATCAGGCTTTGTGTCATCAGAAATTGAATGAACATTTCGAGGCAAAACAGGCAGTAAGTAGATTTTATTTCAAATTTTGTAAATTAAAGAAGTTTTTTTTGGACTTGGTCTATTTTAAATAACATTTTTATTGAAAAGGAATTCCTCAAATCTAATTTTAATTGATTTTTTAATTATTTTTTTTAGTGTAACGAAACCCTAAAATTGGAACCCAATAATATTAAGGCCCTATATCGTCGTGGTCAATGTAATATTACCGTTGCCGAATACGATGATGCTCTGCTTGACTTCCAGAAAGTTCTCGAGCTAGAACCAACCAATAAGGCTGCTCAAAATCAAATTCAAATATGCAAACACAAAATCAAAGAGGCCAAGGATAAGGAGAAGAGAATCTATGCTAATATGTTTACAAAACTGGCTGCTGCCGATAAAGAGGTATAAATCTCATTAATCTGTTAAATTCCAGTTGAAATTTAAATCTATAAAAAAATTACTGTGACTTCCTTAACACATTTTTTTGTTAATTTCGTATTATTTAAATACTATGTAGATATGACAAATAAAATACCTACATTAAAATAGTGTATGTGTGTGTAGTTATTCTAGTATGTCTTCTTTTTCTGTCAACAATTATTTTACACATTGAGTTTGTTTATTAAACTATTCCCAGCAGGATGAGAAACCCGAAGATGATGTCCTAGCCAAGTGTGGTGAGTGGAAGGACGAAGATGCCAATTTGGCAAGTGAAAGAAAATCTGGCGATGAATGGACAGATGAAGATACCAAACGAGAAGCAGATTATGCCTTAGAAAGGGATAACATTGTAATGATATAAATACAAAGAACCGCTATCCTTAAATCATCACCCTCGTTCCTTCTATCATTCAATTATCATACCTACGCGCTTGGATTTTTGTATAACCTGCTATGTGTACGCCATACATATATTAAACTCCATATTATGTTTTAAATATAGAAATTACATATAAAAAAAAATAATATTTGATTCCAAATTGGTTTAAAGAATTAACAATATTATAATCATAAATAAATGGCCAAAATGAACAGTTGGTGGTTGCACATCAATCATTTAGTTTTAACAATTTAAACTCGGGTATAATCTCTTGATGTCTTAACCACAATGGACTCGTTAACATCTGAGACTTGATGTACTCCGAGGCTTTGAAGCACTTGGTACTGCAGAATTTTTTTCGATCAGTAATGTCATACACTTTGTTGGTTGTTGTTGAGATTTGATACTGTTTTGTTGGTACACTGAAAAGAAAGGAAATAAAAATCGTGGTTATAATAAAAAAAACTGCATGATAAGGGTCTCATCTGACTGAAATTTGAAGAGTATATGCCAAGGTAGTTATAAAAAACGGAATAGTTTGTTGACACTACCGCTTACCGAAATTTTGCCGTAAGAACTGAACATAGACCCTGTATCATCTGCGATTATCATCTTTTATTTTTTTTTCTAACACTAAAATTAAATTCGAATCTACTATCGCTACGGAAAATTTCCCGTAAGGACTAAACATAGACCTTGTATCATCTGAAATTATCATAATTTGTTTTTTATCTAACATTAATATTACATTCGGCTCTATTCCAACATATGCCAATTAATTGGCTTCCAATATTTTTTCTTGGCCACAAGGTATTTGAAAGCCTAACTACACAACACATGGTGGTGCTTCCCCCAACAGCACTCGTCTGCCTTACTGTCTATGCTTGTTTTGTTCTCTAACCGGAATTCTTTTAACTTTGTAAAGGAATTGTAGCAAAGCACATTAATGGCAGGATTTGTAGCACATCCCTCCCACTGAAAGCGTGGATGAGCCATAGCGACCATATTTGCTAAAATGCTGTTTACATACTTTTCCAGAATTTCATCACACAACGGATAAGAGCATAAACGTAAAATATTCCTTTCATCCACAATATCGTCGTAGTGGCATTGATTTATGTCTTTTAGCTAGGGAGAAAAATAAAATTATTGTAGAAAAATTACAATTACAAAAACAACTTACAAGTTCCCACCTTTCTCAGAAACTCATCTTCGTTAATGTTGCGTTCCAAGAGCGATTCCACAATTGCCTGGGCACGGGCATTACATTCCTTTTTCTTACGGACCGCTTCAATCAGCTGTTCTTTGCTGTTCAATAGAAACTCTTTGGTAAGATAACATTTGGTACAATTTTTCGAAATATTACCTTAGCTGCTGGGTTTTGGTAGATTTGGTGGTTTTACTCATTGTGTTCCAGGATTTTTATTCTAAAAGAAAATTAAAAAGTTTATTTTGTTTATATTTTAGCGTATAGCCAACTTCCTTAGATGCATGTTAGTTGGCAACACACAAATGGAAGTTGGCAATATGTGAAACAGAAACACAAGTTCAATCTTGTATGTGTACGTAGCAGAAATGCAATGGGGTTTCTATGACAAAACCGAAATCTGACCAATTGCGTACCAGCCTGTAAAAAATGCCGTAGTTTACTCTTTGGTAAGTACGAGAGGATGTTGGAAAGAGTGTCTCCATTTCTCTCAATTGTTTCGCCACTTGATGGAGAGCAGAGTCTCCATTTCTCTCAATTCTTTCGCCACTTGATTTCTTCTGGTCGACATGCCCCAATTTGTACATGGTTGTATCATGCAACGTTAATTTCAATATGCAGTAAATAGGAAAAAATTCAACTCTGTATTAGAGCATTTGTAAATATTCATATTTTTTTAATATTGTTGTTTACCATAATGTTCTTTATCGTATCTCCAATGCATGTATAATAATTGGTCAGGAAGTTTTATCTACAATTTTCTTAACTTTGCGGAAAACACAAAACTGTTGTCCCCATGATTCCTTTCGATGGAGGCTGTAGACTGTCACTGTCTGTTTTCGATCTACCAATCTCTACTGCAGTTCATTTTCGACTTGTTGATCTCTAAACATCCACATGGAGTTGGAGCGTAATTGTGGGGGATTGTGTTATATTTCATATTTTATTTAATATTTTCTACAATTTACACTGCATGTTATTGAATTAAAGCAGCATTATAAAATGGCTAAAAGACTGCAAGAATATGTTAAATATACCATCAAAGAGTTGGATGAATATGTTCAAACGGAGGGATCATGTGTCCATAAAGTAAACACAAACCTCCACTTATCCATGGGACCATTCTGTTTGGCTGACTTCAAACATGTTCTGATGGCCCATATTGTACGCAGCAAAGTAGGCAGTTATGATGTCCAATTGAATGGCATTGTGTTGGATGTGAAAAAGGTGAAGGTATTGGGTAATACAGGCGCCCTGAGAGCAGACGATCCAAGAATTCATGTTGATATCAATGCTGACGTTTATTTGTTCAAGCCCACCGAGGGAGCCATACTGACGGGCGTAGTTAAACACATTGCTGCCCAACATGTTGGTGTGGTGCTGTATCGGGTGTTCAATGCCAATCTGAGAGTGGGCCACAAAGTGAATAAAGACAAAATACAAATGGAACAAGAAGTCAAATTTCGCATAAATAAATATAATTTACAAAATGTGTTTCCCTATATCGATGGGGAACTGCTGACGGCGGATGGAGAAGTAATGAAGGGGGTAATTAAAAAATTATTTATTACAATGAAAGTAAAATATTTTTAATTCCTTTATTTCGTTTTTACAGAAGAAAATCTCCTATAAAGACAGTGAATATGATAACGGCGATTCGGGTATAGAAGAGAAGGAGGGTATACAAGAATTAGATGAATTAATATCACTTATAAAAACCGAAGAACCAGAAATTACGGAACAAAATATTAGCGCTACAAAGAAACCATCGAAAAAGTCAAAGAAAAATGCCGCCGAAAATGAAACAGATGAGATTAGTGAAACACCAACAAAAAAATCTTCCAAGAAACGGAAAATCTCTACCTCTCTAAATTCATCTGCTGCGGAATCTAACTCAGATGAAGCCAATATATTAACGCCGAAAAAGATTAAAAAAGAAAAGGTGAAAAGCGAGGATGAAACTTCTGCGTCTCCAGCGAAGTTGTCACATCCTATTAAACAAGAAAGTTCAGATTCAGATGACTGACACCGAAGCACAACGTTTATTAGTTTTATTTTAATATTTTTTAAGTTTTAAAGTCAGTGTTTAAAAATGTATATTTTTACTTTTTTTGCATTCAGTACAAATGTTGAATATGTATGCCTGCATACAGTATAATAAATCATAATTTTTTCACACAACAAACGAAGGATGTTTTATGAATGAATGTAGTCAGTAGTCATTTTATTTTGTTAAAAATATTAGGAGGATTGTTCGAAATAAATGCCTTTTCTGAAAAGAAATAAGATCCGTCTCCACCAATGACGACTTGTGTGATGAGCCTAGGCTATCCTTGCCAGCATGAGACAAGTATTTCAAGGAGTTATTTGTGGGATAGGGATAATTTTGCACACATACAGGGTGAGATGAAAAAACTGCAACCAACTTCAGATTGCTGTCACTTCTAAGCCACAAAAGCATTTTGGTGAGAATTTTCCAGAAAAAAAGTTATTCGTGGTGGAATTTAAGCGTGATAGTGTAATTTCTCTATATTTGACTGGAAAACCACAAGTGGCTATCGTTTGGTCACTCCAGCATTTAAATGTGAATAAATCATATCCCGTCAAGGAAGTGGACGGAAGAAAACAGCAACATCAGCAGAAAAGTAAAGAAGCGACTTGATCGCGAATGTTCCATTCGGCAAATATTGAAAAATGAGATCGGGGTAAAGTCATTGAAATTCCAAAAAGTGCAATAACTTACACCGCAAAAGAAATAAATTAGTAGACTCAAAAGGGCTAAAGAGTTGATTCGCTTGGCCGAAAGTGGTTTTCTCCGATGAGAAAACATTCGTTGTCCAGCAGTTTGTAAACAAACAAAATGATCGTGTTTATCGTGCCAAAGAGGTCAGCTGGAAATGTGCACCTTCGGTTGGCCACCAGAACTCCAGCTCCGGCCATGGTGATGGTGTGGGCCGCCATAACAGCCGATGGTCGTTCTTCGCTCGTATTAATCGACCGTGGCATCAGAAAAAATGACGAATATTATAGCGAAAATATTTTGGAGGGTGTATTAAAGCCTTGGGCACGCAAACATTTTGGCCGCAGCCTTGGTCATTGCAATAGGACTCAGCACGCGCCATCCAAGAATGTTTATAAAATGAGGTTCCTCGCTTCATTCCCAGCGCGCAATGGCCACCAAAATCGGCTGATAGCAATCCGTTGGACTATTGTGTCTGGAGTATTTTGGAAAGCATGGTTGCCACTAAACAAAATACCAAAGTGTCGATCACCTCAAGCAAGCGCTTCGCCGGGAATGGGCCCAAAATACCGCAGAGCAACATTAGGGCAGCGTGAGACGGTTTCATTGGCCGTTTGAAGACCATAATTCGTGCTAAAGGTGACCAATTCGAACAAATCTAAACTTATTCTAAAATTTGATGGTATTACCGACATTCAATAAAATTAAAAAAAGTAACAATTATGGCATTTGTTACAGTTTGTTTATCTCACCCTGTATGTGGTAGCATCTTCAATCTAATTTACCAAAATGTTCCACCCCGATTCAATATAAAACGGGATACAAATTCGAACTGAATTACAGGAGGACTAGCAAGAATGATGGCAATATATTCTCCCACACAAAATCAGCCATTTTCCGTAATTGAACACTCCTGGTAGGCCTGGACCATCAATATGGGAATCGTGCAATTTATAGGAAAAATATTTGCTCCATTTCCTTTTGGAGATATTTTCTCGCCCACACCCAATTAAGTAAAACAACGTCATGTATATGAGAAATAGCAAATAATATTCTATATAGTTTCATTTATTTTTCTCTTATTCTCCTCAAAAATTAGTGATATTATTTTTTTTTCTCTTCTTCTTCATATATATTTCTCTTTTGTTGGTTGCTTGCTTGCTTGCTTTTGGTAGAATAATTTTTCTTGGTTTTTTTTCACATTTTACTCTTTTTTTGTTTGAATTTTCTTTTTTTGAAAAAATCACTTCATTTTCAATAAGTCTGTGTTTTATTATTATTAGTATAATGTAGGTGTAGTATTCTATCATTACTATTATTATTATTATTATTATATTCAATTAATATAAAAATGTGTAAAATAATTCAACATAAAAACGTTTAACTAAACAACTTGTTTTAGGGGAAATTAAAAAAAGAAAAGGATTTGACAATATGAAGAAAGCCGTAATGAACATAGATAAAGAGAATACAAATAGATTGTATACGTTAAAGGTAAATATAGATAAATATTCAAGAAAAAAATTAAAACAATTTAAAACATTTAAGCCTAGCATATTCATATGAAGGAAATTTAAGTTTACAAATTAACCATTGATTATCATTTCATGATGCGTTTACATATATTCAAAGAAAGAATTGAGGATGTGTGTGTATTTGTAAAATCTGTAAACAATAATGTATGATTTCCAAATCATTTGTTCTCGTTTAAGATTTGGTTTGAATTCTGGTTGGGGAGAAACAAAAACTTTGTTTCATATTTTCTTAAATTGTAAGCCCTCTTTAAGCTTAGAATAAAATTAGGATAATTCACATTCTTATTTTCATAATAATCATCATCATCTTCATCATCATCATCTAGTATACAAAAAATTTCTTATTCGACTACAAAAGTTATGTGCTATTTAATAACAACAATTATGATTCAACTTCCACATTCTACCCTTACGCCCTTAATTACGATGCACCGCGTATTGTTGCGTGACAATCTCTAACAACGACGGAAAGAAGTCCTGTCTCGCTATCCTTTAAGAAGTTAACGTTTTTTTTTTAAGGATTCTAGACTCTACATTTCAGACTCTGATTACGGTTGGTATGGCATTTTTTGAAGGTTGAGTGTGTGCTGCTGAAAATCAACGACGCCATGAGCGATCTTCGGATTCCTCGTCTTCCTCCTCATCTTCGAGTCTCAGTTCGGGCAATGTGTCAGTGTTGTTAGCATCTGTTTCACTGTTTGTTTGGCTGGGATTTGGTGAGGAAATAGCAGTGCTGGCCTCTTGGGGCTGGTTCTTATTGGCATCGGTGCTGCTTGTTTTATTGTCGCCAGCATTGGGTGTGGACACCGTTTTATTGCCAGCCGTCGGGGCTATCGAGGGAGTGTTTACAACGGGAGCCCAGGCAATTTGCAGACGTGTATCCTTAAAGATTTTTCCACGCAGCACAGCTTGTTCGGCATTAATCCGCGTGGCATAGGACAATATCAGTTGTGGCTTTTCCAGGTCCATGTCATGTTTAGTAATCTCACCAAAATGCTAAAGGAATAACAATGAAACACTGGATTTATACAAATGAGTTTTAATCATCTTTACTTACCTTAAAGTGGCCCAGCACAAAATCAGCTTCTTCACTGGCAAATCCCGTAACGATAATGGTTTTGGGACGACGATCAACGCGTGTGGAGCCCTCGGGATAGCTGGGCCTACCTCTTGGAATTGGCCTACCACCCGATATATAGTGAGGTGACTTGCCAATTCCTGGCGATCCACCCACGGCCACATTCGATGCTGACCCTGGCACAATACCAATACTCCGTTGCAATTCCTCCAGCCGCTTTTGAATAGCTGTTGTATCATTACCCTCCTGCTGTTGGGCGAACAATTCCAACTCTATGTCCAGCAATTCTTTCTTCTGTTGTTCTTTTGACTTTTTAATGGGAGTTGGCGGTTGTTGGTTTTGTATTTGTGCCTGTATTTGTTCCTGTTCGGCGGCAATCTCTTTACGTAACTTATCAATGGTCTCCTGTAGCACTTTAATGGTCTCCAAAGTCTTGGCTCTCTGTGGATCTGAGGGTTCACAACGCTCCACCAATTCCAAGGCCGATTTCATTTGTTTTACATAACTTTGCAAGAGCTCCTGTTTACGTTTCCGCAATCCATTGGCCAGTTGGGCCACTGCTTTTACCTGTTCCTCCTGTTTTTTACGGAACATGGCATTGTTGACCACAGCGCCCGGTGTTCTTGGCGGTATATTGTTTTTCAGCCGCAATGATGGCGGCGGAACGTGCGTGGCGGTAACTGGAGTTGTAGGTGTAGCAGTAGCTGCATTTGTGGTGTTCGTTGTATCCTGCTGTCCTCCTGCAGTTGTGCTTGTTGTACTGGTATTGTTGGTTCCGGTCTGCGATTGACTAGTGTTTGCAGTTTTGGCAGAATCGGCGGCTGGAGTGGGTACTGCGGGAATATTGTTCAAATGATATTGACTATTTTTACGAAGACCGGGTGGTTGGGACACCATTGTGTTAACATCAGCACCAGCTGCATTAGGATCGGGAGTATGCCAAAATACTTTGATAAATCTATTGTTGAGGACAGCTTCTGTGCTGCGGTATGCCACATTTGCTTCAGCGTGGGTGGAAAACGTTATAATAGCTGCTTCTGGATCTCCATCGTAGGATATTTGTATATTGACAATTTTACCAAATTTGGCAAAATGATTGTTAAGATGAGCAATGGTGTTGAGACCACGTGGCACTTTACGCAACTCCAGCGAGCAATTTTGTAGGCTAGGCACTCGTGGTCCCAGACGACTATGCGCCGGAATTTTACGTTTTGTTGGGCCGTCAGCTATGGCAACAGAATCTTCCAGTTCAAAGCGTCGTTTACTTTGTGCCTGCAATGCTGCACTCACATCACCACCGGCTGCAGGTGTTCCACCGCTAGCATCCACAACGGGTATGGGTATTAATTCGCGTTGTAGTGGCGTTGCCACAGCTGCAGGGTTGAAGGGGAACGGCATCATTGGCGCTGCTGCACGGAAACCGGCTCCAGCAGCGGCGGCAGCTGCAGTGCGAGCATAATCGGCGGCTGCTAATGATCCAGCACCATTACTGCTCTTGTCTGTTCCAGGAACATGGGGAAAACCAACAGGTCCAGTTGGGCCACCCATGATAACAGCACCAGGGCGTGCAGAACCTGTAAATGGATTAATACCAGCAGCTCCAGTGCCGGTCATCATAGCTCCTGGTGCGGCGCCTCCCACGATTGGTCCAGCGGCTGGTGCTGAACGAGACCACAGGTCAGGGGCATCGGGATTATATTCACGCAATGACATACTTATGAGCGCAGAATTATTTAAGCCTTCAAATACAACGGGATTAACACCATGATCCCAGGGACAAGTTTCACCCCGCACACAATAACCTTTCTCATCAAAATCACGGCATCTTTGTCTCTTTTCATTGTCATGGTGATGACGTTCAGGAGATGTGGTTCCGCCCGCGTTGGCTCCGCCACCACGGTTTTGAGAACGAGCAAGTGAAGGAGGAGACTGTTTTCCACTTCTTCCGCCTCGTTCCAGCGAAGGCGAACGACTACGTGGGGAATTGGACGAATGATTTGCAGAACGTCCAACAGACATTCCACCACTACCTCTGCGATCATTACCGCCAAATCTTGGAGAACGATCATCAGTACCGCCACCCCCGTTGCCACCGCCCATATTATTCGACATCATTCGACGTCTGTCACCACCACCGCCACCTATACCACGTCTACGATCATGACGAGTATCACCACCACCACCAATTGGGGGTGATTTATTACGAAATTGACGCTGGGCCTTTTCACGTTCGTTGATGCGACGATCGCGAGAACGTGAACGTCTCGACAAACGTTCATTGGACCTGGAACGGGATCGTGACCTTGAACGGGAACGTAAAGAAGCACGTCTTCTGCGACTTTCACGCGGTTGGTTTTCCTTATCAGCAGGATTTGTACGGGCAGCAGGAGGACTGGCACTTCGATGATGGTGACGATCGTTATTGAAATGTACTGCGCCGCCACCTCCACCGCCACCCCCACCATATGAATGTGTGTCATTGCGATTTGACGATGCATTATGATGGTGATGAGATGATGACACGGAACCTGATTGATGATGGTGCGATGTTGATGGTGCTGAGGTACGCTCTGTCACAATATTGCTGTGGGTATCTTTGGTTTTGCTCTGAAAATAGAAAAAAAATATAAAAAAAATTGCAAAATTAGTGCATAATCAAAAACTAATAATAAGCTATGAGTTAAATAACGTCTTGTAATTATAAGTATCCTATTTATGGAGGCATATTCCTTCACACTGGATCATAACGCCATAACTTTTTGGTTTCTTGAAATGCCTTTTAATTTATAATTCATATTTAATTTATTTTTATCTGCTATTTTTATGCGATTTAATATGGGCACTTACATCTTCAATTGGTGGTGTATTAATCCTATCAGCAGCATACGAACCACTGGGGGTAACAGTATCATCTAATTTGGCGGTAACACTAGTGATTGTGTCGCTATCATTTTGATTTATCACATTTGATGATGATGACGTCGGCAATGTTGAAGCATCGCTGGCAGCAGATTTACTTAATGTTCCCTCCACAGCAATGGAGGTCTCCTCGTCCTCATTGTCGGTTGTTGACTTTGGATTGGCAGTTGGCGGGGGAGTTTTTAAATATTCCTCACTATTTATGGCCTCAAATAGACGCTCCACAAATGGTTTCGTTTCTTCAGTCAAGAACACATCCAATTGTTCTATCATCACACGCTTGAGCTCTTTTTCGGGTTTGTCCTTTTTAAGTAGAGCTAAGACATAACGTGCCAAGGCGGAAGAATCAGCATCACATCTGGAAATAAACAAATAAAAATTTAAAATTTGAATGGTCTTTTATTTATTTATTATAACTTACAATGGCTCCAGTATGACTACCAGCCAGCTTTTTAAAGCTTCTGTATTATTTATCAACATTTTAATGTTGGTTGACTGCTACTTAATATCTTCACAGAATATGTGGGGGTTGGTTGAATTTCGCCTTGCTTACTTTTGCGCTAAACGACCAAATTCGCTGCTTGCTTTTCTCGGTGTGTGGTACACAACAATAACAATTCACGTTTTTTCTTGTTTTTCTTTACTTTAACCTCTTCCTAATGTCTGCAAAACACAATTTGATGAAAAATTAAATAAAATAGTCGTTTTAATGATAGCAAAAAGTTAAAATTATTACAAATTATTGCGCAAAATTATGCTTTATGAATTAAAATTTCTTTGCATGTGATGTGACGTTATCCAGTATGTAAACGTCAAATCGACTGGCTGTAGTGACAACCAGCCAGTGTTATATCGTAAACAGGAGAAAAAACAAACGTTCTGTCTCTTTTCCGCTTGCGAGCAAAAAAGGGAAAAAACACCAAAGCCTATCGCTACAAAAACAAACTAATTTGACAATCAACGAACGAATATTATGTAGCCACAATATTATATTTCTTTTTCTTTATACTTTAATTGAAAATGTTTGTTTTTTTTCGAAAATTAATTAAAACAATTATTAAAGTCCACGCACGATATTCTTCATTTCACGCGATTGTCAGCTCTCAACGAGTTATGCTCGAGTCCAGCGTAAGCGAACGAATGATTTGGCTAAAACGAGTAGATTTTCCTCGATTTTTCACCATCTCGTTTCGTCGAACAAATTAACAGTAGTGGCGAAAATACTGGCAAATTCTATAAACACAAATTTTCACTTTATATCACGAATTTCACAAAGTTTATTGGTTAATTTGTGTTGCTATTAATTCATTACACACATTTACACATTTTTTCTCCTGTTTTTATGCCTTTAAATTGGTAAAAATTCAATGAAATATCTTTTGCCACCAGACCACTTACATTGTTCTTCAACGAATAAAGAGATGGATAACAAATGTAGCGAACGACACGACAATGTTACCAGATGGTTGATAAATGTTTGTGTTACCAGATGGTATAATTGTAAGCCGAAACAAGTATTTATTATTGCGTGGGGAAAAAGGTATTAATGCTACTTGAGAAAAATATGCATCATTGAACATTTTTTCCGTACTGAAACACATATATGAGCCATTATTGCAAGATTTCAACAGTTGAAAATAAGGAAAACATCAAACTTCTCATTTTTAACCGATTGAATTGCAGAATTTAAAAGTTAATTTTATTTACAAAATATGTAACAATTCCATTTTCTATAATGGAAATCATCTATAATTTCCAACTAGTTTTAAATTTATTTTTATAAGTATTTACGCAAAACGAGTTAAAATTTTAAATAAGGCATTCTGGCGTTGTCGCTTTGATAGAAAGCATGGTAGAAGAATATAGGTAGGCGCATCGACACAGCTGCTTGGACAATGAACTGTCAAATCAATTTTGGAATTGAAAATTTTGAATGAAAGATTATTTTAATTTGTAGAAGTTGTTGAAAAACAAGAATTATAATAACCTCCGAATGAGGTCATATAAGAAAACATATAAAAATCTATTTATTTTTGAAGAAACATTTCAAAATTTTTGACATATCAATGTGCCTGAGCGTTGATTCATCTACCTGTATTCTTCCATGATAGAAAGAAACAATTTCACACTGTTTACATACGCAAGTGTCTATTTACACTAGTATACTAAAAAATTGATAGAGTCACTTTATCGGTAAAATTATTCTACTATCATACAGGTCGTCGCATTGACACAGCTGCTGGGAAAATGAACTGTCAAACAAATTTTGGAATTTAAAATGTTCAACGAGAAAATATTGAAATTTGTAAAAATTATTGAAAATTCATGTCATAATAACATCCGATTTGTGTATTATAAGAAAACATATAAAAATCTACTTATTTTCGAGAAAATATTGAAATTTGTAAAAATTATTGAAGATGTTGAATGAAAAATTATTTAAATTTGTAAAAATTGTTGAAAAACGCGTACTATAATAGCCTCCGAATGACGCAGTACAAGAAAGCATATAAGAATCTACTTGTATTTGAAAAAACATTCAAAAATTGTTGACTTATCAATGCTCCCAAGCGTTGATGCATCTACCTGTATTCTTCTGCCATGGTACAGCTGGTTGAATTAATCCCTATTAAGAAATAAATAATAAAATGACATTTCAAAGTACTCTTGATTTAATAGCATTGAACCGTTTCAACTTTTAGATCTCTGTGTTTCTTACGTCCACGACGGCTTCAATTAAGTGACACACGTTTTCATGATCCAAGTATAAGGTCCACCTTCCAGCTCAGCTGATTACCAGACGATCTGTCAATTAAATTTGAATTCGCTGCAACAAAAACAAACTTCAAAACGATGGTAGAAGAATACAGGTAGTCGCATTGCATAGCTGCTGGTGCAATGAACTGTCAAACCAATTTTTAAGTTAAAAATTTAAAATGAAAAATTTTTCAAAAAATTATTACAATGCTTGGGAACATTAATATGTCAAAATTGTTAAAATGTTTTGTCAAAAATAAGTATATACGTTTTCTAATACGAGGTTGTTATGATATGCAATTTTTACAAATATCAACAATTTTTCGTTTAACATTTTTAATTTCAAATTCGGTTTGACGGTTCATTGTCCCAGCAGTTGCGTCGATGCCTTTACCTGTATTTTTGTACCATGTGTTATACATACAAAAAATGACAACATTTTCGCCTCAAGCATGAATTTTGACATTTCATCTGGTAAATAACAGCTGTTTTTAGATTAATTCGCTCGAAGGAAGACCCTTTAATTGGGCCATGCACGTTTTAATTTGTTTCTGTTTTGGGGCAGACAAACTCTTTCTTCAGCTTTGAATAAAAATAAAACTCATCATCCTAGAAGGAGATTGCTGGACAATTTCTGCAGGAAAAGTAAAAAAGTAACAATTTTGGACTTGTTAACACAGGTACGTATCGGCACCCGGATCCTGCCAATATTCAAATTAATTTAATCTGTATTTGAATAATTTACCATTTGTTTTTATCGTTCGAAAAGGTGAAGAACTTATCTAAACATGTGCAGCATTGGTGAAGATGACTTCGGCGATGAGGGTGGAGTTCATTCCATGATACCTGATGTAAAGACCAGCCAACCACAATTGTCCATTGACAATGATATACTGTGTAATAAATGTAAACAACCTGGAGCAACATATAAATTGGCTTTTCGAGAGCCAGAATGCAAGGAATGCTTCCTCAACTATGTGCGTCACAAATTTCGTGCTGCATTGGGTTCTTCCAAAGTGTTACCGAAAAATGCAAATGTCCTATTGGTATTTGACTGTAGTGCCCAGTCGTTGGTTCTTTTGGATATGCTACACCATGCCCAGACTCAAAACACATTTAAGAGATTGCATTGTAATGCTACAGTGCTTTATATCGATGACTATCAGATGCATATTGATGGAGAATGTTCGCCGGAATATGAAAAACACCTGAAAGATGTTCAAAGTACCTGTAGCACATACGAGCATTTTGATTGTTATATCCTGCCTTTAGTGAAAACTGATACTGTCAATGATTTAATATTCAATTTGAAATATTTGCCAGAGGAATATAGTGCCAACGTTGACAAACATAAATCACAGTTTAAGGAATTGCTGAATTGCATGAGGTCACTTACATCGAAACAGGATTTTATCAAACATTACCGTAGTAAAGTTATAGGACTTGCTGCAAAGCATTTTCAATGTCAATTTGCTTTTAAAGCGGATATAAGCTCTGATTTAGCCTCGGATCTTTTGGCAGCCATTGCTCTGGGGAGAGGTGGTAGTGCTGCTTTGGATGTTGCCTTGGTGGATAATCGGTTAGATGATGATATAAAAATTGTCAGACCTCTGAAAGACTTAACGGAGGAAGAGATAAATTTGTATGTAATAGCTCAAAATCTCAAATTGTTAGAACAGAGGAGTTATGGCAGCGACTTTGGACCATCAGCTAGTTTACAAAACCTTACGAAAGCATTTGTTGAGGATCTGCAACAAAATTATTCTTCGACAGTATCAACGGTGTTTCGTACAGGATCGAAAATTGCTTCACAAATGGATGAAAAATCTGAACTATGTTGTGTGTTTTGCAAGTCTGTTTTGGACTACAAAGATTCCAACACGTTGTTGGCCATAGAATTTTCACGTATAGTCTCAGAGTGTGGCATCAAGACGGAAGATATCTCTGAGCTGAGTATGGAGGCGCATAAACATGTTGAGGGCGATATTGAGGGAAGGGATTTAACAAAAGTGTGTCATGCTTGTCGAAATATTTATGCAGATTCTAGTAATAAGGATATATTGTTGTTATAACGATTTGTAATAAATACTGACAGAAAAACTAAAATTCAATATTACTAGCAATTTTTAATAAAAAACATTTTGTAAATTTTATTTTACATGGTAAACAAATGGATAATTGTATTTTTTCTATTCAAAACCTCTTTGCCCTCCAATCACTATACTCGTCGAAATCTTCCGCTTCGGATACCTCGTCACTTGAATCGTCCGAATTGTGACCAGGTTTCGTTTTTTCAACTGCTTTATTGAGCTTTTTCCTCTTCTCTTCCAATTCCAAAACTTTCGACCAGTGGTGGATTTGTTCATCGATCTCGACGAGTTCTTTTTCCACAGCCAGTTCTTTTTGGTCGGCAACAAAAATTTCATATGAAGCTTCGGCAACTTCTTTTATCTCTTTCTGGAATAATTCCCATTCAGCATCCTTAGTGTCGGCATTCTGGCCTTTGGTTTCAGTGGTATTACTATCAAAGAACTCAGCTGGTAAGGGATCGTTTGATGCTTTATCTTGAACTTCGGTACCTTTGGCACTTACTGCTGGAGTTGTTGTTTGTTTTGTTGGAGCACTTTCTGTCGGGACACTCTTCGTTTTCAGCGCTGTTTCTTTCGTTGTCGCAACTTTCAGTGGAACATCTGCTGTCTTAGTAGTGGTGGCAGTGGTGTTAGTTTTCAGTGATGATCCAGCATTTAATAGTGTCGTCTTCAGTTCTTTAGCTGCTTGCACATTGTTCTTATGAGCTTTGGAATTTACATGAACTTTCCAGATATTGGCCGATTTGAGTGGTGTTCGACAAATGACACAAATCAATTGTCCTTTGGAATCAACTTTCATTAGCGGCGATTCTATTTTTTCGGTTGAGTTAGATGTTTCTTTCATTCCATGCTTCACCGCCAGCGCCCTTAGTTGTTTTTGTGTAACATTTGTACTGAGGCGTTTCATTTTACAAGGCAGGAATTATTTTTATTTTTTAATCTATTGAATTGTTTGTTTTGTTTACAAATTATATCGAGAGCCCTCATAAAGGGTTGCCAATGTTTCAAAAAGGAAAAAAAGACTTGTCTTAAATAGGTAAAAGTTGACTTATGAGTCCCTATTAGGTGTGTGGTGGTATTTCAGTTACGGTTCATCGGATTTTCCTCATTTCTGTATAAGTTAGGAAATAATAATGACAAATTAAAGGTCTTTCAAGTCATTTGTTTATTAAGTTTTAATTTAGTGCTATTTTAAAAACAATCGTTGGCCTTTCATTTTTTCTGCTTTGGCTGTTGATAGGGTTCACTAGTGTGTGTTTTATCACATTTTAAGGGAGACGTAAGTCGATATACCATTTTTGCACTCTACATCAAGTAATTTATAGTTTTGTTTCTTATTATTGATTTGTATCGTAAGGCAAATATTTATATATCAGTATTTTCAGTTAATGTATGCATACATATCACTTTGATTGTCCAGAAATGTTTGTAGAATTAAATAGAATTTTTGTTTGTCTCAGATACGATTCTTGTAAAATGGTTAAACCTATTTTCAGATTTAATTATAGCTTTTTAACCTATTTTCTCTTATTTTAAAGAAAAAATATTCCGATCGAATAACAACATTTCATATCCAATTTGGTGAAAAGCTATTTAGTGTACATATATACCATATCTGATATTTTTTATGCCACATCAGAACTGCAATATTAAGGGGATATTGATGATTTTTGTTACAGGCCACAATTCTGTAAATATTTTCTTACCTTACCCAAAAAATCGAAATCACAAGATCGATGATTAATTCGGTGTACCAGTATCACAATTTATTATTAGAAGTTGTATGACTTTACTATAATTTACTCTTCTCATTACCTTCGGCCAAACGTTGATTCGGTCGCAAATGGCCATCCAAACCTGGAATATTGCAAATTATTGACATATCATGCATATCTTTGTAGACTATACGGTGAAGATATTTGGCTTTGTTATGGAACTCAGAGGGCGTTTCTTCTACCACAACTGTTTCCCGGTTATCCATTGGTTCTTTGGGATAGAAATCATCATCTACAAATGTAGTAGAAGTAATGTTTTTAAAACACTTATTAGATTTTTTCGAAATCGATTCACTTACTTGGCAATGTTCCTACAAGAATGTCGTTACAGCGGTAGTAAGCCAGCACCAGTAACGTGCTGCCGTAGGAACTTCTCTTTTTCACAAAATCTCTAAGTTTTGACCAATCTAAAATATTTGTAAGACGAGAAATTTCATAAAACTGGAGAGGTGGTAGCCAGATATTGCGGCTCTTAAACATATTTAGGGCACTTGCTGGGGAGACCCACTAAAAATAAAGAGGAACAGAAAACTAATGAAGCTATTGCGATATGTTTTGCTGTTATAATATTTGCATCAATATAGACAAATATTTAAAAAAATAATGTCAGATTTCTTTTATAAAAAATCAGTTTAAAAAATCAGTTTATTTAAATATTGTTATAGTTTCCATTTTTTCTAATAAAAAACACCGAATGTGACCAATATTCTATGGCCCTTTTCCTTAATATTTGCATTGATTTACTCACCAATTCCTTCTCCACCTCACTGGGTTCCAAAACCAATGTTGGCAATCTGTCCAAGGCTACAAAATACAAAACTGTATCATATTTCTTTAAGGCGGCCGGTGGACTGCGCCATATACTCCATTCATGTAATGACCATAAGTCTGGAATTACATTTAAATATTTACACAAGTTAAGAAATTCCATTGAATTGTTATGGACTCTTTTTTGCCAAAGGACCTTATCAAAATTGTCCACGAAGTGGCCGCAACCAAACTTTCCTCCATTAAACTGTTCCTTTGTTATGCATAGCAATAGGCCCACTTCTTCAAATGCTTCCCTGATTGCAGTGATACGCAAAGAAATGTCGCGAGAAAAATATTTCTTGTTTGTCATCAGGGGTGTTGGTCTATTTGGTAAATGTTCTAAGCATAGGCTGTGCAAGTCTTTGTCGGATACGCCATAATTTGCAAAATGTTCTAACCATTCGATAGATTCATCGGCCTTGGCATCAAAAACACCACCAGGAAAAACATAATGCTCGGGAGCAAATGCAGTTTTATAAGATCTTTTAGCTAGCAGTATCTAAAAAAAGAATTTTTCTTATTGGAAAAAACGTTTGCAGAGTTATTAACTACTCACTCTGTAATTATATCCCCGTTCCGTTGCATCACTTTTGGCGGATATAATAATGGTGGCAGATGGCCGGTAGATCTTTTCGCATTGGTCGTGGGAGGTCATGCTGGTTCCACTTTTAATTTGGAAAGAATTGTCAACAATAAGCTATGGTATTTTGAACTTTGTACATGTACCCCTTCACTTTTGGTAGGAGATTTATAATTGAAGTGGTATACGGTAACTCTAATATTACTTTAATCCAGAATGTACATGTTTCCTTACATTTGGATGTAATACTGTTCCATTAGCTTCTTGTGGCTTTGTTGATAGGCCTGGAATGTTTTGAAACTATCTCAGGGACTGTTTTGCTTGGTTTCGTCTGTTTTTGTTTTTTGTTTTTCCAACCCAGTTAGATAAAAAACAAGAGACTAAGAATAACAAGACACAAGAGTACACATTGACAAAATGTTTTCTCACAAAGTTTTTTGATGTGATGAATGAATAAAGTGCCAATACTGGGGTAGTATATCTCATCAAATGTGCATATAAGCTTGTACGCGGTTCTATGATATAATTTATAAAGTATTAATTAAGTTATTACATCGGGTACCTCTTTTCATTCTTATTATCCAATGCATGATCAGCTGTACGAGGTTAGAAACTTCAATATTTTTTTTTTTTTTTTGTTTTTGCCTAAGGCCATATTTATTGATAAAATACTTAAAATCTATACAGCATGACTTACTGCTAAATTAGGAATAAAAATAAACATATGGCTATTCGCTATCTACTATAAGTATATTAAAACGCTGCAGAAATCTGCCAGCGGCAATTAGAGAAACTTCAATAGTAAACAACCCCCTTGTGGACAAAGTGCAAAGATCGCCTGGCGTTTTAGCAATATCTGGCAGTTGGGATTCTTGGGGCATCTAACAAATGGAACATAGGTAATGTCTTTGTCCCTATATGTATATATTTATAACAATTATTTTCCATTCAAGGATTCAGCTGTGACGGGAGTTGTGAGTTATTTTTCGGGTTAGAGAACATCATATGGAGATCGAAACAGGTGTTTTTTCGGATAGAGGAACTTTTGTATAGAAAGACTTTTAATTTAAAGGGATTTATTATGATAGGGGATATTTAAAAAAAGTATATTAACTTCTAAGGGGAGTCCTGTATATGAAATAACTTTAACCCTATGTGACATTCGAAAATTTCTAGATATAAAATCTTAAAGGTGTTTCTTAAATATTCCTTTATTTAGATAAATAGATCTTTTAAACCGTCTTCTGTAGGATTATTTTGAATGTGATTGCCTTGAAGAAAAAGTCCCTAAAATCTCCGCTATGAAAAGAAGAAATTTCAACAGCTCCATAATTAGATGAATATATCTTTTAAAAGGTCTTCTGTAGGATTTCTTTGAATATGATGGCCTTGAAGAAAAAGTTCTTAAAAACTCTGCTATGGAAAGAAGAAATTTCAACAGCTCCATAAAGAAGAGGAGTTGTTATGTGTATAGATGGAATACTATCAGGGATCTGCTGTAGATATACGAGTTTCCAAAAGGGGTTCTATTTAGGGTTTCTCTTTTTTTACCAAAACGAAACATTGTTTTATTGTTACAAAGAACAACAAAGGAACAACTAACATTGTACAAAGGGCCTATGATGCCCTTCTAATGTGTATACAGGTACATTTGCGTCCATGATTAAAAATAATCCCATTAGAGGTCTTTAAGCGTCCATGTTTAAAAATAATCCCATTAGAGGTCTTTAATCTCTAGAGGTGGCATAACTTATCAAATCTCTTTTACACGCTATTTTCTTATCTGTTGTTTGTTTGGTCAAAATTAGAGATCATTTGGCAATTCAGTTCAAAGTTTGTTTACTTCTAGAGCACCACGGAGGAAATGACTGAAGAAAAAAAGAAAACTGCAAAAGGGCCCGTTTGGCGAGAATCGGCTAGTTTAATAATATGTACTAAAAATCCCAAGAAAACAGATGGATATGATTATGATGTAAGTACAATGCGAATAGTTAAAACTTATTTTCTCAACATAAATATTCTACTTACAGCTGCTACTCATAAAACGTTCCGACAAAACGGCCATAGTACAAAATCAAGGTGTATTTCCCGGTGGTATATTGGATTTATCCGATGAGAGTGTTGAATGGTTAAAATATTTTCAAGAATTTGGAATTTCCCAGGAGGCACTGAAACAACTAGTTGTGGTCGATGGTAAAACGGAGAGACCGAAAATTTTGGCCGCCCAAGGTACGGGATGTTATGATAGATTTTTTAAAAATCACAAAATATGGGCAAGGTAGGACAATTCATAATTGCTATCAATTTAAATATTCTTATTGCGTTTTCTTTTCCAGAGAAATCTCATTGCGCATCAATGCCATACGTGAAACATTCGAAGAAGTGGGTATCCTAGTGTGCCGCAATAAGGAACAATTGTATTCTCCAGTCACTGAAGGATTTTGCAAAGAGTTGAGAGATATTAAAGAATGGCAAAAAGCGGTCCATGATAATCCATTGAATTTTCTGAAAATGTGTCGAGAATTGCGGGTTGTGCCCGATTTGTGGGGTTTAAACGAATGGACTTGCTGGGCAAGTCCGGCTGTCATACGTAAGGGGTATGTTGTTTGAATGAAATAAAAAAATCAAATTTAAATAATTTTATTTTTACAGTTTTGAGACTGCGTTTTATATAACATTTTTAAATGAAAAACCCTCAATACTCTGTGAGATATCCGAAGTCAAGGAACATCTGGTAGGTCATTGACAATTTCTGTGGATATTTCTACAAAATAAGTATGATTTCGACTTCGAAAATTTCAGTGGCTACCTCCAACTACAATACTGAGTATGGTACGAAATGGCGATTTGTTCTTTATGCCACCACAGTTTTATGAAATATCGCGTTTTATGCCCTACAAATCTTATGATTTCCTAAAGAATTTTGCCACGGAACTCAGTCGCAGGGGTGTAGTTATCAATCATCCAATACTGTATACTTGTACCGATGGAGCGGTGTCAGTTCTACCAGGTAATTTATAGTTTATTTTCTCAGGTTGGATTTTATGTTAATGCCTCCTTATGTTTTAGGTGATGAATTTCATGTCGGTTGTCCTCGTGTTGCTACTGCACATCGTACGGTTGACTTTACAATAGACGAATTTCGTTCACATTCAAAGCGTATTCATCGCATGGAAGATTTTGGCACACCAGATGCTGTGATATATATGAATATTGATCCAATAGATGGCCACCTAAAGCCCCTGTGTGCCTTTGGCGGAAAACATAAACTTTAGCTGTGCAAAGCGATTTCAAGCGGTGTGGTATTTAATATTTTAATAAAATAGGGATTTGAATATTACGAATTAAAGATGAATTCCGTCGAATGTGCAGTGCCAATAAATGCTCTAAGGAAATGCTATGAAAAAATCTTCCCGATAGAGACGAGATTTAAAAGCTTTTATAATTATGGAATATCAGAACTAGAACTTCTAGCAATTAAATGCTAACTTAAAAATACTTTTGAAAGGCCTTCCTTCTACAGAAGATCTATTCAAAAGCCTTCAGTCTATTGAACCTCTTATCTAAGATATCATCAAACCAAGACAAATTAAAAATATAATTTAACCACATCATCTACTGACCTGCTTTTGTAAACAATCCCTGGTTCAGGGCCTGTGACTTATACCATAAAATGTAACCTTTAATGCTAATAGCAATATAATTTAACCACTTCATCTACTGACCTTCTTTTGGTAAATAATCCCTGCTGCAGGACCTGTGACTTATACCATAAAATATAACCTTTAATCCTAATAAGCAATTTCTTAAAATTTGTTCCATTTAATAATTAATTTTTTTTGGTCATTTCTTGCCCTGTCCTGTTACGATAAGAAAGGACATTTAATTTATACTTTTAAAAAATTTATGACAAAAATCCGCGTCAATTAGCTGGATGAATAATAAAAAATTTAATCCCTGACAAGTAGAGCAACAATTTCAGTACCAACATAATAAGACATCATTGAAGGTCATTTGGAGGAGAAGTCATCGTTCTTGGCAGAAAAAAAAAAAAAAATAAACAAAAGGGTAATCAAAACAAATTGTTCTGTGTTTGAAAACTTTATCAAGGACTTTGAACTACTGTTATTATTTAAAATCATATTTTATTGTTCATTTGTTTTGGGTTGGGGGAGGAAAGAAGGAAAGAGGACAAGGCAATTGTTTTCCTTCCTTCCTTTTCCCATTTCAAAACATATCTTCATCTCAGGGAAGTGGACAATTTATGAGGTGCGTTTTTTTAAAAAGAACATCGTTACTTTGTTCTCAGATTTGTAAATGGTGTTCACACTCCCCAGTACACCCCACCCCACACCGCACATTCTTTCCATTAGACAATAAAACAAGGGGTGACTTTAATAGACTGCTACCAGAAGTCACAGTTTAAACACAAAAAAGGAATACCACAAAGTACCCTTGATGATGTTAAGCGCTTAATGTATCACCCAAGGCCGGTATTCAATTGAAATCAGGTGGTGGTGGTGGCGGTGATGTGATATCAGTTCCGTTTTTTGTGTCCTTCAATTTAAAACAGCCTCACAGCAGGCAGAAGGATTCTTTGTTTCTCCATATCCCTCTCTTACTCTCCCCTCACCCCTCATATTCTATAATCAAGTTAAAGTCATGGTGCGTCATGGCCATGGCGCAAAAAGTGATTTTAATGCGTCCGTAATGGGATAAAATCAGTGTCTGCTTTGTGGTTTCTGTTGTTTGTTAATCATTGAATTTAAAAAAGAACAAAAAGTATTTAAAACTGTGGTTTGAGCAGCAAATGTGGTGTATTCGGAACATTGGTACTTAAACATGAATACATGCCTCTTCCCCCAAACCAATGACGCAGTGTTTTAATTATTCATTGTGGTGCCACGGAAATTATTCATTGTCCTGTGAAACTTTTTCGGAAATTTATCAATTTATTTCATTTGTTGTACATTTTGCAGGAGGTTTTGTTTACTTGAAGTAGAAGGCATGGACATTTTTTTAAAAATTTTCGGATGTTTTTAAAACCTTGCACGATTAAATGGTAAGATCTGGAATTAAAGCTCGGTTAGTTTCTCAGAAGATCAAAGCTTAAAAATCCAGAAAAAAGCTAAGATTGGTCTTTCAAAAAATGTACCTGTAAATTTCCGATTATATCTTTTATCGTCTCTGAAAACAATTTTTGGAAAATCATCTTTTAAAGCAGGATCAGGGAGATTCAGCCCTGCGTGGCATTAATGAGCACAGTCACAATTAAAAAACCAGTAAGGAAAAGTCAAAAGTCGAGCGGGACCGTCTACATGATACCTTACACCACCATGCATATTTAGTAGAGCTCCCGTAACAAAATAATGTATTTGAAGTAGATCATACCGCCTATCAACATTTGGCTTTAGAGCAATTATAGTTTGGTTTCAGAGGGAACTAATATATGGAAGGCATATCCAATTCTGAATCGATTTTCACTAAATTTGACGATACCAAATAACATTGCTATAGAGTGCATGATATCATTTGGAGAATGATTATATTATAAAAATTTATATCGGAACCGAGTTGCCTAAAATAAAAACGTACGTCCCGAATTTCACTCCATTTGGCCTGATATTAGCCATTATTTGCACAAAAAATTTAAAATCGATAAAATTTGCCGTTCTCAATAAAAATCGGTCGGATGTACCAAAATTCAGGACTTTTTGACAGATATTGGCCATTTGGTGCACAATTAACCTGAAATCGGATTGAGGATATATATGGGAGCTATATCGAAATCTTAGCCGTTCTCGATATTTCCGAGCTCTATAAGACATGTGAGGGAATTTAAACACCAATTCGGATAAAACATATATATGAGAGCAGGTACACTGAACCGATTTTCTCCAAATTTGATTTACTTGCTTCTAGACTAAATTGGGTCGGATGTGCCAAAATGAAGGTCATTTAGACTGATATTAGCCATTTGGTGCACAATTAACCCGAGAAAATGAAGGTCATTTAGACTGATATTAGCCATTTGGTGCACAATTAACCCGAGATCGGTTGAAGATATGTGGAAGCTATATACAAATCTGAACCGATCTTGACAAAATTTGATACATTTATTTCAGAGCTGTATCTGATATCTGGTACCAAAGATAATTGTTGTGGAGTGCATATTACGCATGTGAGGGACTTTAAACCCCAAATCGGTTGAAACATATATATGGGAGCCATAGCTATACCTGAACCGATTTTCTCCAAATTTGATGTACTTGCTTCTAGACTGAATTCGGTGGGATGTACCAAAATTCAGGTCATTAGGACTTATATTGGCCATTTGGTGCACAATTAATCCGAATTCGGTTGAAGATATATATATTTCCAAAATGCTACAATTTGTGCTAATACCTTTTTCGGGCCTAGAAATATTCTCTTCTGGGTACGTTCAACCGGCTACGTGAACTAAAGTTTTTCTAAATTTAACAGTTGTTGTAACTTGCCGACCTTCGTCCGGGGCTTCAGATTTTCTCCTCTGGGTATGTCCCACACCGGCTAACGCGAACCAAGGGGGAAAATCTCAAGCCCCGGACGAAGACCGGCTACTTACAACAACTGTTAAATTTAGAAAAACTTTAGTTCGCGTAGCCGGATGAATATCTCTGGACCAGAAAAAGGTATTAGCACAAATTGTAGCATTTTGGAAAGGTAAGAGTGTCAGCTATAATTTGGCACCAATTTTGTTGACCCCCCATAATGGGCCCTTTTTCGACATTTTGGGGGGTTTTATAAAAAATCCGGGTCCAAAAATTCGGTCCATAATGTGAGTACTTGTTGGATAGGTATTTTCATAAGCTTTAAAACGATACCTGTATTATCTATAACGAGTAAGTGGATCCGGGTCAAGAACCCCGACTAGAGTCCCGAGTCCGTCCTCCAAGAAAAAAAATAGTTTCCCGGAATCAGGGTAAAAATACCTACCTCTGGAAAAAATCGAAGTTTTTACTAAACTAGAGTTGTTCCAGGACTGGCATGCATAAATCGACTCAGAAAGTGATTCTATGAAGATCCTTAAAAGTAACTATGGGTCTATCTCGCTTCCCCCTCCATTTTACAAACAATTGCACAAAGACATAATACACTAACCACTATGTGGTGTAGGGTATAACAATGTAATCAGAGAGTAACAAAATTGAGAGAACACATACATGCTACTCTCTTCACGGCCATCGTTTGAAGAAATATTTTTTAATAATCCACAACTAAGAAAACCCTAAGAAAAATAATTTAAAAAAGTCCACAATTAAAGCTTGAATGGTCTCTCAGAAGATATCCTTCAATAATCCACGCTTAATCCCACAAAATATTTTATAACAATTCAAAGTTAAAGCTCACAAGAAGTCTCAGAAATGTCTCTCTCAAAATCCATTGCTATGACTCTCAGAAAATATTCTTAAGAAATCTATAGGGTTCTACAGGTCGATAATAAAATGAATGGAAAATAAGGCAATTCCCCTTAACAGACTAAAAAGATACTAAAACTATTCTTTTTCTTTTTTTATTTTCAAGATTAAATGGAATTTCACAAGGATAAATCCCATTAACACTTGACATCCTTTCAATTTCACATCAGGATATTAACTGTCGTTGATAACAAATTGCGAAGAATATTAATTTCAAGGATAATTATTAGCTTCTACGAATATGTGTGCACACATACATACATATGTATATGATTTCCAATACAATGAAGAGTATCGTCTGTTGTCTTACATCCTCGCCACATCTTTGCAGGAATCCAGTAAAGTAACATTTCTTGTACACTTCCTAGAAGAACCATTCAAACTCATCTCCTCCCCCTTTTTGTTTTTGGTCTTTCTTTTCTTGGTTACTGAATTCTTGTCACGTATTTTGCGAAAAACAGAATAAAACTCGATGGAAGGGAAAACGAGACAAAAGAAATAAAGACGATGACAAGCAATTATAGTGATTATTGTCACAGACAGATCGAAGCAGCATGGAATTCAATGCAGGCACCACTGAGTGGAGGTGGAGGATTGAGGATTGTTGATTTAATAAGGTGTCTCGTTTGAATGAACCTGTTTCGGCAGCTGGACATTGTGTTCAAAGTGTAACAGCAGGACATTCGCTGTGGCGACTGACTGACATGCATAGTAAAAAACCAAAACGTAAACAAATAAAAAAAAACAAACCTAGAAGTTATTGACGCTCGATATCCTGATGATGAAGAGCAGACCTGCTCGCTTGACATGTTTGAGGACATAATAAAATAACAAATAATAATAATGTGAACCTTCCAGTTTGTTATTGTTGTAATAATATAACCAATTGTCATGTTATCTTGTTAATAAAGCATAAGGGTAAGCATCCCACAACAACAGCTTTATTCGCCTGTCAATAAAATCAACTAACCTGCTTTGGAGTATCATCAACACCCAAGGGAATCTAGACTGGTTTTGGTAGTGAAAAAATCATCCCTTGGGTATATTTTATGAATGCTGTTCTGCTTAGGAATAAAAATGTTTGGAGAATATGTTGAGGAAATTATTCTATTTTAAGTGCGAAGTATTTGAAATGAGGTGAAAAAAGCCAAAATAGAAACAAATGACCCACCTTTTCACCTTTTTCTTCAAGTTAATATCTCATTTTTATACCCTACACCACAAGGTGGTCAGGTTATTATGTCTTTGTGCATTTGTTTGTAACAGGCAAAAGGAAACGAGATAGACCCATAGTTCCTTTTGATGATCTGCATAGAATCACTTTCTGAGTTGATTTATGCATGTCAGACCGTCTGTCCGTCCGTCCGTCTGTCCATGTATTTTTGTGAACAAAATGCAGGTCGCATTTATTATCCGATTGAGATGAAATTTTGCAAACAACATTTGTTTGGCCCAAGGACGAACCCTATTGAAATTGGAGATAATCGGTAAAAATTTAGATATAGCTCCCATATATATCTTCGTCCGATTTGCCTTTTATTGTGCACCAAACGTGTAATATCAGCCCGAATAGTATGGAATTTTGCATATACAACCAAATTAGGCCTGAAAAAAGTATGCCAAATTTTATCGAAATCGGTTCAGATATAGCTATAGCTCCCATATATATTGTTCATCCGATTTGTTATTTTTGTCCTCCGCAGCCGTAATATGCACTCTGTAACAACAATATTTGGGGAAATATATCAAATGCAGCTTAGAAATACCTTTGCTAAATTTTATCGAGATCGGTTCAGATTTGGATATAGCTCCCATATATAACTTCGTCCGATTTACCATTTATTGTGCACCAAACTTCTAATATTTTTCCAAATGGGATGGAATTTGGCACATACGACCGAATTTAGTCTAGAAGGTAGTATGCCAAATTTGGTGAAGATCGGTTCAGATATAGTTATAGCTCCCATATATATTGTTCATCCGATTTATTGTATTTGTTACCCACAGCCGTAATATGCACTCCGTAACAAAGATATTCATGGACATATATCAAATACAGCTCAGAAATATCTTTGCCAAATTTTATCGAGATCGGTTCAGATTTGGATATAGTTCCCATATATATTTTTATCCGATTTCAAATTAATTTCGCACCAAATGGGCAATACAAGTCCGAATTTAAAAGATACAAATGCTTCGGCATATTTAGTCCTTTGAATTTTAAATTATAATTATAATCATAGCGTGTATGATTGAATTCTCCCATAAAAACTTTTAATTATTAAGTGGAGCTCAACTAAATTAGCAAAGTGGTGTAGGGTATCATAAAATCGGCCCCGCCCGACTATAGGACTTTCTTTACTGGTTTTAAAATGTCGATATTAGATATGACCACTCAAAGGAGAGAAAGTACAAAAAAAGAAGGAAAAAGTACCAGAAAGTGATTGAGAAAAGGTACCAAGAAGTGGAAAAATGTACCATAAAAGGGAGAAAAGTACCAAAAACTCTTTTAAAATTTAAGTCAACAAAAATAAATTGGAAATTTGACAAGAGGGTCACTGACGATGTGCAGGGTTGCGAATTTTTGGAGTTTCATACATGATCGGTACGAAAAGTACATATAAGCACAAAAGTGATCTTCAACCGTTATTAGGCGACCGGCAAGAGCTAGAACTTTTAACATTTGTATGGAAGTTCTTGGTTGTGTGGTAGGGTTTAAGGTGCGTTGGGGGCGTGTTTATGCAGTGAGGTAAGAAGTGTATCAAAGGCTACAAAATGGTACGGAATTCCTATTGAACAATCGAAGGGAAGGACATTTTTTTAACTTCGGACTTAAAGGCTACGAAAAGTCACAAAATTAAAATGGAATTTTGGTAATTATTTGCTGATGATTTAAAGTGATTTTGGTGTAGAGGGTCGAAATAAAATGAGATTTTTTTAAAAATCCGTACTCAAGGCTACTAAAAGCTACAACAATGTTATAAAGCGATTGAAATGAGTTAGATATTTAACATTTTGCATGAGGGATATTCATGAGAGTTCAATTTTTTATATGTTATTGTTTGCTGGAAGAGGAGTGTTTTTATGAGAGAGAGAGAGAAAGAAGGCCGAAGAAAAAGTGACAACTATCTCAATTCCCTCGTTTTTTCAAAAGTCACAATTTTTTCCCTTTTGTAGAACAGAAAAAAGGTAGAGGCCAGCTACCGATTTAATTTTTATGCCCTCCACCATAAATAGAATGGAGAATTTTTTAAGTTCCTCATTCCGCTTGTAACTTATCGAAATAATAATTTTAGACATAACAAAGTATATATATCCTTGATCAGCATAAAATTCTAAGAGTCAAAACGAATAATAATAGGAAGCTAAAATTGTGTACATATCAGTCTTTCGTCTGCAGGCGGTCAAAGTTCGAAGTTGGGCTAAATCGGTCTACGATATCGTATAGCCCCCATATAACGATACCTCTCGATATTCGGTATTATGATGATTTTTCAATGAAATTGTCTTTCTAAGCACTTTACCCCCTGGACGAGAAATGCTTAAGTCTACAATACCGTACAGCCCACATACAGGGTGAAATGAAAAAACTGCAACCAACTTCAGACTGCTGTCGTTTCTAAGCCACTAGTCCGACCGCTGTTAAAATTATTCCAGTGACAGCTGATTATATTTTTTACAAGCGTACAGAAGCATTTTGGTGAGCATTTTCCAGAAAAAAAAAGTTATTCGTGATGGAATTCAAGCGTGATAGGGTGATTTCTTTATATTTGGCACAAGTGGCTATCGTTAGAGCACCCCAGCATTTAAATGTGCATAAATCTTTTGTGTCTCGTTCCATCGCTCGTTACCGTGATGATACTGGTAGCGTAACCCGACGTCAATGAAGTGGCCGGGAAAAAATAACAACATCAGCAGAAATGGTTTGAAGAGTAAAGTCGCTTCTTTACTTCGAAGCCCGCGTTGCAGTGGCCGAAAAATGGCTAGTGAGCTGAACTTATCGCAATATTCCATCCAGCATATATTGAAAAATGAGCTCGGGGTAAAGCCTTTGAAATTCGAAAAAGAGCAGAACTTACATCGCAACAGAAAGAAAATAGACTCAAAAGAGCTAAAGAGTTGCTTCACTTGGCCGAAAGTGGTGAACTGCCGAATGTGGTTTTCTCCGTCCCGATGAGAAAACATTCTTTGTTCTGCAGTTTGTAAACAAACAAAATGATCGTGTTTACTTGCCAAAGAGGTCAGCTGAAAATTTGTCACCTTCGCTTGGCGACCAGAACTTAAGCGCCGGCCATGGTGATGGTGTTGGCCGCCCTAACAGCCAATGCTCGCTCCCCGCTCTTATTAGTCTTCCGTGGCATCAGAATAAATGCCGAATATTATAGCGAAAATATTCTGCAGGGCGTATTAAAGCCTTGGACACGGAAACATTTTGGCCGCAGATCTTGGACATTCCAACAGGAATCAGCACCATTGCACTCAGCACGCGCCGCCACCCAAGAATGGTTAAAAAATGACGTTCCTCGCTTCATTTCCAGCGCACAATGGCCACCAAAATCTCCGGATACCAATCCGTTGGACTCTTGTGTCTGGAGTATTTTGGAAAGCAAGGTTGGTACTAAAAAATACCAAAGAGTCGATCACCTCAAGCAAGCGCTTCGCCGGGAATGGACCAAAATACCGCACAGCAACAATCGGGCAGCATGTGGCGGTTTCTTTGGCCTTTTGAAGGCCATAATTCGTGGCAAAGGTGACCATTTCTAACGAATCTAAACTTATTTTAAAATTTGAAGCTATTTCCCACATTTTCTGCTTTCATTCAATAAAGCTTAAAAAAAATTAAAAATTATAGCTTTTCGATTTGTTGCAGTTTTTTTATCTCACCCTCTATATGGGAGCTATAGCTAAACCGATTTTCACCAAATTTGAATTACTTGTTTCTAGACATAATTCGGTCGGATGTGGCAAATTTCAGTCCATTTGGGCGGATATTAGCCATTTGGTGCATAAAAAAATCTGAAATCGGATATATGGGAGCTATATCCTAATCTGATCCAATCTCGATAAAATTTGACAGAGGTATTTTTAGGCTTCATAAATTATCTGGTACCAAACATCATTCTCGTGGAGTGCATATTACATGTATTACGAGGCCATAAACCCCAAATCGGATGAAACATGTATATGGGAGCTATAGTTATATCTGAACTGAGTTTCAACAAATTTGAAGTATTTGTTTCAAGGATGAATTCAGTAGGATGTGGCAAAATTCAGTCCATTTAAGCGGATATTAGCCATTTGGTGCACAAAAAATCTGAAATCGGATAATGGTATATATGGGAGCTATATCTAAATCTGAACGGATCTCGGTAAAATTTTCAACACTTATTACTGAGCTGTATTTGATATCTGTTATCAAAATTCATTCTTGTGGAGGGCATTTTACGGGTGTGAAGGACTTTAAACCCCAAATCGGATAAAACATATATATGGGAGCTATAGCTAAATCTGAACCGATTTTCACCAAATTTGATGCACTTACTTCTAGACTGAATTCGATCGGATGTGCTCGGATAATAAATGCGATAAACGATTTTCCCTTTATGATATCGAAAAAAATTGCAAAACAAGTAGATTCTTGCAGGTTCTGGAATTTTTATCCTCCGTCTATCTAATTTTATTAAAAATACCTTCAAAATACTTTTAGTAATTGCTTCAATATATTTTTATTTTTAAACTCTTATTTAAACAGAAAATACTTTAATATAATCAATTTCAAAATCGGCTCGATCCAACCACGTCTTGTTCGACTGATAGGCATTACGAAAATGCAACATGGCCCGAGGATGGGTGTTGATCCATGGCTTCTTCTCGGACCATACACCGTCGTGAAAATCACTGAAGCCACCAATTGACTCACCCACCCGCAAATAGAACTCCTGATCGAATGGTGCCCATTTCGAGCCACCCTGCAGGAGATTACGATTTGGTAGATATTGGCCAAAAACTTTGAGATTTTTAAAACTCTCCTCTTCGGATTTGATTTCATAACGACAATATTCTTCGGTGTCCAAGGAAAATGTTATAACATCCTTTGTCCAGAGCATGCGATACGTGTGGAATTCTTGCGATAAGTTGTGTGCCGTTCGTTGCAGGCACAGTTTGAAGGAATACCAGTCTGGACGGGAATTTAGTATGAGGCCGGCCAATAAGTCTGTTTGTCCGCCATCATTTCTCGTCTGGGCTATACGCATTTGCCCAGAATTGTAATTGGAATCACCGTATTTGGGATCAATGGGCTCCAGCCAGAGTTGGGGTGTTACCCACATGGCGTGCGGCATTTTGGCCCGCACTTCGACCAGACCATATTTGAAGGAGAACTTTTTCTTTGTCGAAAACTGTGCAGAGATATAGGGTGGTATGATGGTAATAACATTCGGTGTAACAGAACATTCATTCGAATTCAGTTTTCCGGTACAGGTATTGCCCAACTGCAGCGATGATTTTAAGCTAAAACCCGGGCCGAAATGTTCCAAAGTTGATATGGGTTTGAGGCGCACTTTGCCATTGCTTAGCTTTAATACATCCTGCACATCGTCGAGATAAAGACAAAACTCATGGCTCGGAGCACGGGGAATACGCCTCTCCACTGTCCATTTAGCGCTGTCCAATTTGTTGCCCTCGAAATTTTCCTGGAATACCAATTGGTCGGCACAACGTACGGGAGCTCCATTTACAATTGTCACAGCAGATGAACAACTGCCTGTCGTCTTAGTTACACTTGGCTCCGTAGAACTTGCCGGGGTTATGGATGTGGTGGTGGTATTGAAATATTCCTTGACCACATACACACCATCATCTTCACGATAGCCCAAGCCCTTGTATATCACATAGGTCCAATAGTAGAGGGTGTCACCCAGCTGTAGACGGGTTATGCGATCACGAAATGTCCATCTACCATTTTTCGGCACCACAATATCTCGCGCCCAGGTGCCCGCCTCTAGGCCATCCATTTCCTCATTCAGCTTGCCATGGAAGGCAAACAATGTAATGCCCTCTTCGTGGGGTATGGATACTTGAAATCCCTTGGGATAGTACACCTCTATGGTGGCTTTGGGTACTTCATAGCTTGGTGGCGTTGTTGACGATGGCGACACAACGCCAAGCAGGATGACTAATGCGAAAAATACGATGTTGGTCATTATGCCCGTGACCATACGCTTAGTGCTGAGGTTCTCGCTTAAATACTAAAGCTGCTCTCAGATGCACGCATATTTATTTGAGAAATCCGGTTTTATCAGTCAACAATTCATTCATACAGGCTGCCGGCCAGCTATCCATCCACCCGTTCAATCATTCATTCGTAACTTTGATGTTGATAAATTCTTTGTTGGGGTTTTTGGATGGTGGTTCTAAAGAAATGGGCTGAGCACAAAGTAAGGGGGGGGGGTTGTATTTTTAGAAAGAAAGCTTTGCAAGTCATGGGCGTAGATATGACTTCTGGGGTTTGTGTAAGGCCCAGGGATTTTCAATTTTTATTATAATCATCTCAATTTCATATTATATAATGGAGAATCTCAATGACCCCCCTCCCTCATTCTTGATGAGCTACGCCATACTTAACCTATTCAATCTGTCACCATACACAATTTTTACAAATTAATTCAACAATATTTGAGGACTGTGGACTTGAAATCACTAAGCAAAACGTACTGGATTTCCCGCGAATTAGCTTAGATTAAGAACCGTGCACTTCTGTAGATATGCCATAAATAATATTCAAATACAGAATTGCCGGAAATTTTCCCCATTCAAATACATAAACAATGGTTTAGTTAAAAAAAAAAATTCAAAGAAGAAAGAGTTCTGATATTCTTTTAAAAGAATTTCTTAGCAAATCGGAAAATGTGTTCTAATAGAAGAACATAGACGACCGAAAGACTTAGCATAGAAGACTAAAAGGTCTTCTCATAGAAAACCGGAGGGTCCTCTCATAGGAGACCAGAGGGTGTTTTCCAGACCAGAGGGTCTTCTCATAGGAGAGCAGAGGGTCTTCTCATAGAAGACCAAAGAGTCTTCTCATAGAAGACCAAACGGTCTTCTCATAGAAAGCCAAAAGGCTCTCATAGAGAAGAAGCAGAAGGGTCTTCTCATAGAAGAGCAGAAGGGTCTTCTCAAAGAAGAGCAGAAGGGTCTTCTCACAGAAGAACAGAAGGGTCTTCTCATAGAAGAGCAGAAGGATCTTCTCATAGAAGAGCAGAAGGGTCTTCTCATAGAAGAGCAGAAGAGTCTTCTCATAGAAGAGCAGAAGGGTCTTCTCATAGAAGAGCAGAAGGGTCTTCTCATAGAAGAGCAGAAGGGTCTTCTCATAGAAGAGCAGAAGGGTCTTCTCATAGAAGAGCAGAAGGGTCTTCTCATAGAAGACCAGAAGGTCTGGTCTTTTCATAGAAGACCAGAAGGTCTGGTCTTTTCATAGAAGACCAGAAGGTCTGGTCTTTTCATAGAAGAGCCAGAAGGTCTTCTCATAGAAGAGCAGAAGGTCTGGTCTTTTCATAGAAGACCAGAAGGTCTGGTCTTTTCATAGAAGACCAGAAGGGTCTTCTCATAGAAGAGCAGAAGAGTCTTCTCATAGAAGAGCAGAAGGGTCTTCTCATAGAAAAGCAGAAGGGTCTTCTCATTGAAGAGCAGAAGGGTCTTCTCATAGAAGAGCAGAAGGGTCTTCTCATAGAAGAGCAGAAGGGTCTTCTCATAGAAGAGCAGAAGGGTCTTCTCATAGAAGAGCAGAAGGGTCTTCTCATAGAAGAGCAGAAGGGTCTTCTCATAGAAGAGCAGAAGGGTCTTCTCCTAGAAGACCCAAAAGGTCTTCTAATAGAAGACCCGAAAGGTCTTCTCATAGAAGACCCGAAAGGTCTTCTCATAGAAGACCCGAAAGGTCTTCTCATAGAAGACCCGAAGGCCTTCTCATTGAAGACTCGAAGGTCTTCTCATTGAAGACTCGCAGGTCTTCTCATTGCAGACTCGAAGGTCTTCTCATTGAAGACTCGAAGGTCTTCTCATTGAAGACTCGAAGGTCTTCTCATTGAAGACTCGAAGGTCTTCTCATTGAAGACTCGAAGGTCTTCTCATTGAAGACTCGAAGGTCTTCTCATTGAAGACTCGAAGGTCTTCTCATTGAAGACTCGAAGGTCTTCTCATTGAAGACTCGAAGGTCTTCTCATTGAAGACTCGAAGGTCTTCTCATTGAAGACTCGAAGGTCTTCTCATTGAAGACTCGAAGGTCTTCTCATTGAAGACTCGAAGGTCTTCTCATTGAAGACTCGAAGGTCTTCCCATTGAAGACTCGAAGGTCTTCTCATTGAAGACTCGAAGGTCTTCTCATTGAAGACTCGAAGGTCTTCTCATTGAAGACTCGAAGGTCTTCTCATTGAAGACTCGAAGGTCTTCTCATTGAAGACTCGAAGGTCTTCTCATTGAAGACTCGAAGGTCTTCTCATAGAAGCCTCGAAGGTCTTCTCATTGAAGACTCGAAGGTCTTCTCATTGAAGACTCGAAGGTCTTCTCATTGAAGACTCGAAGGTCTTCTCATTGAAGACTCGAAGGTCTTCTCATTGAAGACTCGAAGGTCTTCTCATAGAAGACTCGAAGGTCTTCTCATAGAAGACTCGAAGGTCTTCTCATAGAAGACTCGAAGGTCTTCTCATAGAAGACTCGAAGGTCTTCTCGTAGAAGACTCGAAGGTCTTCTCATAGAAGACTCGAAGGTCTTCTCATAGAAGACTCGAAGGTCTTCTCATAGAAGACTGGAAGGTCTTCTCATAGAAGACTGGAAGGTCTTCTCATAGAAGACTCGAAGGTCTTCTCATAGAAGACTCGAAGGTCTTCTCATAGAAGACTCGAAGGTCTTCTCATAGAAGACTCGAAGGTCTTCTCATAGAAGACTCGAAGGTCTTCTCATAGAAGACTCGAAGGTCTTCTCATAGAAGACTCGAAGGTCTTCTCATAGAAGACTCGAAGGTCTTCTCATAGAAGACTCGAAGGTCTTCTCATAGAAGACTCGAAGGTCTTCTCATAGAAGACTCGAAGGTCTTCTCATAGAAGACTCGAAGGTCTTCTCATAGAAGACTCGAAGGTCTTCTCATAGAGGACTCGAAGGTCTTCTCATAGAAGACTCGAAGGTGTTCTCATAGAAGACTCGATGGTCTTCTCATAGAAGACCCGAAAGGTCTTCTCATAGAAGAGCCAGAAGGTCTTCTTATAGAAGAGCCAGAAGGTCTTCTTATAGAAGAGCCAGAAGGTCTTCTTATAGAAGAGCCAGAAGGTCTTCTTATAGAAGAGCCAGAAGGTCTTCTTATAGAAGACTCGAAGGTCTTCTCATAGAAGACTCGAAGGTCTTCTCATAGAAGACTCGAAGGTCTTCTCATAGAAGACTCGAAGGTCTTCTCATAGAAGACTCGAAGGTCTTCTCATAGAAGACTCGAAGGTCTTCTCATAGAAGACCCGAAAGGTCTTCTCATAGAAGACCCGAAAGGTCTTCTCATAGAAGACCCGAAAGGTCTTCTCATAGAAGACCCGAAGGTCTTCTCATGGAGGACCCGAAGGTCTTCTCATAGAAGAAACCCTAAGGTCTTCTCATAGAAGACCCGAAAGGTCTTCTCATAGAAGACCCGAAAGGTCTTCTCATAGAAGACCCGAAAGGTCTTCTCATAGAAGACCCGAAAGGTTTTCTCATAGAAGACTCGAAAGGTCTTCTCATAGAAGACCCGAAAGGTCTTCTCATAGAAGACCCGAAAGGTCTTCTCATAGAAGACCCGAAAGGTCTTCTCATAGAAGACCCGAAAGGTCTTCTCATAGAAGACCCGAAAGGTCTTCTCATAGAAGACCCGAAAGGTCTTCTCATAGAAGACCCGAAAGGTCTTCTCATAGAAGACCCGAAAGGTCTTCTCATAGAAGACCCGAAAGGTCTTCTCATAGAAGACCCGAAAGGTCTTCTCATAGAAGACTCGAAGGTCTTCTCATAGAAGACTCGAAGGTCTTCTCATGGAAGACTCGAAGGTCTTCTCATAGAAGTCCCGAAAGGTCTTCTCATAGAAGACCCGAAAGGTCTTCTCATAGAAGACCCGAAAGGTCTTCTCATAGAAGACTCGAAGGTCTTCTCATAGAAGACTTGAAGGTCTCATAGAAGACCCGAAAGGTCTTCTCATAGAAGACCCGAAAGGTCTTCTCATAGAAGACCCGAAAGGTCTTCTCATAGAAGACCCGAAAGGTCTTCTCATAGAAGACCCGAAAGGTCTTCTCATAGAAGACTCGAAGGTCTTCTCATAGAAGACTCGAAGGTCTTCTCATAGAAGACTCGAAGGTCTTCTCATAGAAGACTCGAAGGTCTTCTCATGGAAGACTCGAAGGTCTTCTCATAGAAGTCCCGAAAGGTCTTCTCATAGAAGACCCGAAAGGTCTTCTCATAGAAGACTCGAAGGTCTTCTCATAGAAGACTCGAAGGTCTTCTCATAGAAGACTCGAAGGTCTTCTCATAGAAGACTCGAAGGTCTTCTCATAGAAGACTCGAAGGTCTTCTCATAGAAGACTCGAAGGTCTCATAGAAGACCCGAAAGGTCTTCTCATGGAAGACCCGAAAGGTCTTCTCATAGAAGACTCGAAGGTCTTCTCATAGAAGACTCGAAGGTCTTCTCATAGAAGACTCGAAGGTCTTCTCATAGAAGACTCGAAGGTCTTCTCATGGAAGACTCGAAGGTCTTCTCATAGAAGTCCCGAAAGGTCTTCTCATAGAAGACCCGAAAGGTCTTCTCATAGAAGACTCGAAGGTCTTCTCATAGAAGACCCGAAAGGTCTTCTCATAGGAGACCCGAAAGGTCTTCTCATAGAAGACCCGAAAGGTCTTCTCATAGAAGACCCGAAAGGTCTTCTCATAGAAGACCCGAAAGGTCTTCTCATAGAAGACCCGAAAGGTCTTCTCATAGGAAGACCCGAAAGGTCTTCTCATAGAAGACCCGAAAGGTCTTCTCATAGAAGACCCGAAAGGTCTTCTCATAGAAGACCCGAAAGGTCTTCTCATAGAAGACCCGAAAGGTCTTCTCATAGAAGACCCGAAAGGTCTTCTCATAGAAGACCCGAAAGGTCTTCTCATAGAAGACCCGAAAGGTCTTCTCATAGGAGACCCGAAAGGTCTTCTCATAGGAGACCCGAAAGGTCTTCTCATAGAAGACCCGAAAGGTCTTCTCATAGAAGACCCGAAAGGTCTTCT